AGAGTCTCAGGTACACTTAGGAGCAATGACCAAACACACGGCAGAGGGGGACACAGATGTAGAAGGCACAGCTGCAAAGTTTCTGCTAGACTGGGAGCCTGTTTCAAGCAGAATAATTAGAGCAAGGTTTAGTACAAGATGTATTCAAATGACCATCATTCCATGTTATGCTCCACAGGTGATCCTATGATGTACAAGAGACACCCCTAATGTGTGCATGAGATCCATCCTCGCATTGCCGACTATTGCAGATAGACTAAAGGTGCTGCAGGTGAAGTCATACATCAGAGTAGCTGCATAAAAAGAACACCCTTTGTATGAAGCTTTAGCTGCAGGCAAGGGTCAGAGGCTGAAAAGGGGCAAATCGTGGATGGCCAAAGCAGAAGACACAATAAGACAAGTATGCATGCTGGAGAACATTGGGCAAGGAGTGGGTCAGAGTACCAGAGGAAAGGTTCGAGAGTTATGATCACATTGGGCTTGGAGTGCAGAGAGTAGCCAGCGGGTGCTACGGATGTTGAAGTCCAACAGTTAATTCACGACAATTCACGCCCAAGTGATCTAATTATATATACAGATGGTTCGATGGTGAGAGGAACGAGAAGTGCCTGGGGATTCGTATCTAATGCCAATGGAAAATCTTTAGTGCAAGACAGCCTAGCATACGCCATCATAACATCTAGCATGAGAATGGAGGTGGAGGCGGTAACTGCAGCTCTCCGGTGGCTAGAGAACAAGATGCATACACATGTCGTAATTGTAAAAGTCTATGAAAGCATGCTGAGAAAGGTGAAGACATGGATGCTTCGAGCAGAGTGGCAAACTTCACTGGGACGGTCACGGGTAGTGAGCATACTTTGGATTTTTTTCTCCGGGCGAAGCCGGAGTAGAGGGTAATGAACAGGCAGACAGACTGGCTGGATCTGCACAACTGGAATTGATACATGACAAGGCAGATGGGGTCAAGGACCTTTGAGAACAAGCAACGGAATTAGTTGAGAAACAAGATTATTATGGCCTTGAAAGAATGAGGTACCTGGGTGTAAACAGAGGATCTGGTCGGCCCACTACACTCAGAGGAAAGGCAAGACAGACATATAACCAGATTGTGACCAGTGCTATCAGTATTGGAACTCTGCGCTGGCTGCTGAAGATGAGGACGGAGCACGCATGAAAAAACCCACAAAATGGCTAAGCTGGTACTTCTGTTCTGGAGCGACTTCTGCACTTACATTCAGTGTTGCTACTTTGGATGTTTTACATTCAGATCTAAATATTTTCTCTTGCATCTAGACGGTGTTTCTGACATCTTGATGGTAGATGTAATTCTCATTCATTCATTCATTCATTCAGTAGCATGTCCCTCGCGAAACCTCGCTGCCATAACAACCCTCCGGAAAACCTTCCTATCCTGAGCAAGATGTCCTGCGTCTGATACACCCAAGATGTAATTCTAGACTTTTTTAATTTGGAGTTAGATATTTTATAGATTTTTTTTTTCTGTCAGTGTCAGTTTAATAATAATTACTGTATCAAATATTACACATTTGTATTTTGGTCTAGGCACGTACATTGTGGTAAGTGCGATTACTTAAACTTTGAACTCACTTAGGTCACCGCTCAACAATCTGGCAGTCCCGTTACTGATTAAGGTTAGTTGCTTATCCTTTACAGGACGTTGCAGGCAAATTTACGTCCAGTAGTTTGTCATTGCTCTCTGGACGGTCGGCTTTCTTGATACCACTGTCGAAACCAACACAAGACGCATGACCCGCAGCTGGGATAGAACTCGGCATCCCGTCATTACGAAGCGTTCGCATCGACATAGCCACAGAGCCGACGGTATTGATTAAGAGCGCGCGTAAATCATACTAACTTTGTTTGAACTGTATCCTCATTGTGTTGTGAACTATAACTGTGATGCTGACTTTGTTGTTCTTTTTCATGTGATTTTTCATCTTCGTATGTATCTTTCACTTTGAAAATCCTTTCAACATGCCAAAAGTAAAGCAATATGAGCAAACAAAGACGGGGTGATGGCAGTTCCTGGAAATACGACTAAGACTCATGTAAGTACCGCAAGTGGGAAAGTTAAGCGAAAATACAAGACTTAAAGAGTTATTTAGAGACTAAAAGGCATACAATTGCAGTTCCATTCAAAGATATTACACCGCTGACCGCTGATTTCAGAACTACACCAAATAAAAAATCATCAAAAGTTAAAGGATCTGTCGGAATGTTTTTTAAGTTGTCATTGTGCAATTTCGAACTGTGACCATTTAATTGATTAGTTTAAAAACACTATTTCTGAAAGTAATGTTACTGACGGCGTAAAAATGCACCCTAACAAGTGTACACATATTATAAGTAATACTTTACTTTCTGACTTTGAAAAGATTTAATCAGTGAAATTTCTACAAATAAATATTGTTTATTCTGAGACGAATCGAATGAAACATTTGTTATGAAAGTGCTTGGCGTGTGTATTATATATTAGAGCAACCGAAAAGACAAAGTAGTTGTCGTCCCATCATTTAAACAGACAAGGTATGAATCAAATCTTCTATCTTTCTACTTTTTTCTTTGAGTGCCGATCAATACACTTTCTGTTACTTGATTAATTCATAAGGTCTGAATCAACCATGGGGCCAGCCAGGGCAACTCCCTGTCGGTTTTCCCCAGTAGTTTCTACATATCTTGGACTAGTTTAACTGGAAAAGTGTGATGCAGAAAGTATTGTTCAGGAACTAAAGAAACCTTTAATCAGCAAACAGTTAGACTTGACAAATTTGGCTGCAATTGGTACTAATAATGCCTCTGTGATGATTGGTATCATTAGTAGCGTTTGTGCCAAATTGAAGATATCCCATCTTTAATCCTTATAAAATATGTGTGTCATTCCTTGCAGCTAGCATATCACATGCTTCATCTAAATGTTTACCAAAATGATTGTATTGCTGAAACACATAACTGATTTTCCAAATCATCTGTCAGACAACAGCAATACAATAACTCAAAGCATTAAATTATGGTTTCGCACCACTAAACATTTTGTCAGATTGCAAAAATAGATGGTTATCAATTCAACTAGCTGATGAAAGAATTGTGAACCAATGGTTGGAGTCGAATACACACTTTGAAATAACAAAAGTGAAAAGTACTACACAGTTGAAACACTATATGGAATGTACAGTGATGAAACAAACTTAGCATTCCTTCTCTTTTTGCAGAGACTGGCCAGCAGGTGCCACAGAGGTGGAGATTCAGCAATTAATTCAAGATAATGCTCGCTCAGAGGATCTGATCATTTAAACAGACGGTTCAGTGTCAAGAGTCAAAAGAAGTGCTTGGGGCTTCTTAGCAAAAGTTAATGGTCGACGTTTAGTACAGGAGAACCTAGCATATGATACTACAACATCCAGCTCAAGAATGGAGGTGGAGGCGGTCACTGCAGCTTTCCGCTGGCTAGAGAACACGACACACACACACATCGTGATTGTAACTGATTCAGAAAGCATGGTGAGGAAGATCAGAACAAGTATGCTTCGTGCAGAGTGGCATGCTTCGCTGCGGAGGACACGAGTGAGGAGTATTGTCTGGATTTTTTCACCGGGTCCGCCGGTGTGTTGGGAAATGAACAGGCGGGCAGACTAGCTGGCTCTGCACAACTTGGTGGAATACTGCTACACGACATGGCAGACGTGGTTAGTGCCTTGTGGGAGAGCGTGTACAATTCGGAGGAGCAGATGGATCACCAAAGTCTGGTGAGATTGATGCAGTTGGGGGTGACGAGAGGTTCTGACAGATGCTCGAGGCTCAGAGGAAAGGCAAGACGTTTAATCAGAAAGCTACTGGCACCATAAGTATCGGAACTCTTCGCTGGCTGCTGAAGAGGGGGACGGAGCGCTTATGGGAATGCCCCGAGTGCTGTGATGTCGGTTCTTGAATCAAATCAAATCAGTCTCTTTTTGCAACCTATTCTAATGGAAGTGCAAAAAGGTAATAAATTGTTGGAATCTAAACATGTTGAAAAAGTTAAATTACTTGACGATCTCACTTTGTATTTCACTCAGTTGGTAAAAGACTGGTACTGCCTTCTTCTAAAGCTGATTTGCTCACTTGCACTATAGAGAGCTTTTTGGCTACCAAGTCATACCTTGGATTTTAAATCAAATAAAAATTTGATGATTCAAAAACATAAGGACTGTTAACAGAAAAGGAAGAGAACAACTCAAGAGAACAACTCAAGATTTCCTTTTCCGTATCCCATTTTTTAAGTAATCGAAGCAGACTTCTTGAAAATGTATTGAAACAATATTTAACTCTTTTCTGTAAGCAACATACTTCAGCCAGTAAAGGACATACCTAAATATTGTAAAGTTATTAAATTGTTAGGGGCTACTGATAATAGTGTCGCGGAAGCAGAATATTAGTTAATCAAAATAAACTTAGTTGAATGGACAAACAAAACAGAAACTGTAGCGTTTTAGAGTGAGAAGAGACAATTTTTAAAGATGCCTCATCAAACAGTCCATTTTGTAAGCTCTTTGAATGTTCCATGTCTACCATGATACTATCCCACTCAAATGCTGACATAGAAAGAGTTTTCAGTGCTATGAATTGTATCAAATCTAACCTAAGAAATACAATTAGGCCTGATGGAGTTGGAAAATGCTGTTCAACTTATCAACTCCCTGATTGTCTATTAAAAGAAATTGGAACAGCTAAAGCATACCAGAGTCATTTTGGATCTGAAGCTTCAACTTCATCATCCAAGCTAAGTTTATCCTATGTATCTTGTAAGGCAGACTTCAGTAAAGATGAGGACATGATTCTATAGGGTAAGTCATTTCAATAGATGTGTAATTTCGGACTCTTTCTATTTAGGATCTTTTTCTAGATGTTTCCAACTCAAATTTAGATGTTTTTAGATATTTTTTGACTCCGTTATGGATTTTTGTGTCAAAGAAAAGTGGCAACACTGCTCAACACCCACAAACATGGCTGCCGGTGCATCCCACCTTAATTCATCGAAGTTGAATTTAGGAATATTGAGAGAATTTTACAGACGCGAATTTTTAGAAAGCATTGATAAATGCATTGGAACCAAGGTAATATTTTGTTAGTATGTTTAGTGTTGTGTTAAAATAAGGCTGACACTATATAATTATATTGTTATCAACAACTGTCATTGTCTCCTTTACACCAACTCGGTTCTCCTTAAAACTACGGCCACTTATTATGGAGTACACCGGAGTTCAGTCCCCTGGCCGCATTGCAATTACGGAGTTAAATAGAGGGAACGGAACAAATGACGTAATTACTGTGTGTTGGCGATAGCGTGAACCGATGACGTATTCACTGTGTGATAACTCTTTGAGTCCCAGGGGGTTTAGCATCACAGGCCCAGGGGGTAGTAAAGAAAGTAATTATATCGATGCATCATGCGTTCATTGGGATTCTAAGTAGAAACCTATGAACGTATGATGTGTTTCTTGGGACTCAAAAAGTTAAGTGTGTTGGCGATAGATGCACTGCTGCCATACAAGGGTTAGGGTTAGGGTATTGGTACTCCTTAAAACTATGGCCACTCCTAACCCTATACCCTAGTATGACAGCAGTGCATCTATCGCCAACACACAGTAAGTACGTCATTTGTTTCCTTCCCTCCTTTCCACTCCGTAATTGCAATGCGGCCAGGGGACTGAACTCTGGCGTACTCCATAATAAGTGGCCATAGTTTTAAGGAGAACCCCCAACTCTTTCACTACCAATCAGTGGTAATGGTATAGTTGGTACTAGTACTTAACACATTAACACTGTCATGCATGAGGTGAGGCAAGGGGGTTTCACATTCGAGGACCAAATGTCACAATAGCATTTTGAAATCTTACAAATGTAACCAATTACAACAGATCACACTAGTACAGTTGATTTGCAACATAGTGTACTGTATGATATTATGATACACATATGACCAGTAATGATTAGTGAATAATAATAATAATAATATATATGACACACCCTATGTTATTTTGTTGTCAACCAAAAGTCCGTGCCCTGTGTGCCTAAGGTCACTAAGAATGGCCAGCATTGGTCGTTTGAAAAGTTGCATTAAGATGATTAAGACTGTCTGATTCTATTGACAAATAAAGAATGAAACTGTTTAGCAGTCCTGTAAGAATGCAACCAGAAAAAACAACTGCATATAAGATTTTCTACAGCAGAACATCTGTGAAGATGACCTTCTTTTCCTTCCTCTTTGTTCACCGGCTTTAAGCTCTGGTGGAAAGTCAGCGATATTAAACCCTAAGCCTTCGGTGGACCTACACGTGCCTATTGGCTGAATGACTGTGGGTTATTCAGTCGTGAACATGGAACATCTGGTTAGCGGATGGGAAGGCGCCAGGCATAGGGACTTGGTCAGGACATCCCCTGCCTCTTACTAGCATGCAGGCAATACTAGGGTGACCGTTTACTTCCTGCATTGAAAGATTATTTTTTATGGATTTTGAATTTAATAATAAAAAGAATCCTTGCTAGAGCTATGGAGTGCATGCTCTATGCTTGATACCATCTTCAGCTGGCAATGGAGAGAGTGGAAGGAGAAGAAGATGAGGAAATGGAGAGAGGAGAAGGTGTAGAAATAGGAGAGCTGGAGAGTCAGGCGACATAGGTTGCATCTTGGATTTAAACATATTAGAGTGGGTTACTGGAATTGTAGTGCAAAGCAGAGAGGAGCTGTACTGGAGAGACTGATTGATGATTGTGATATCATCATGCTGCAGGAATTAAACATAGATAAATATGAGTGTCCTGGATACATCAGTTACAGCAGTCCTGCTGGACAGGGAAGGCATGGACAGTGTCTGCTGGTGGAGAATGGGTTAAAGCATGGGGTTCTTGACCTGGGCCAGTGGAATCATAGTACACTAGAGGTTCAGGGTGTACAGATAGATAATGAGGCAACAACCTGGAATTTATTAAATGTTTACGCTGCTGTTGAATTTTTTGTCACAAAGGAACATTGGGACTGGCTGAAAGAATTGGAGGAAATACCTGGTAAAAGGCTTGTCATCTGTGGGGATTTTAGTGCACAGAACAGAGCATGGGATAGTAGTGGGGAAAATTAGCAGAGGTTATGGTGGATACAGACCTAGTCTGTATAAATGAGGTAAGCCAACTAGAATGGCAATGAGAGCTAAGGATGCAGACACGGTTATTGATTTAGCATTTGTTACTGTGACGTGCAGCAGCTTCATGGTGATGTGCGGCGTACCAATGATGAACTAGGGCATCGTTAATGTAACAAATGGTATCAACAACTTACAATGCCACCGACCAAGTGTAACAGAACATGATGAATGTTAAAGTTTCTAAACGTAGTTGAACGATAACGCTATAAGATAAGTTCCATGGTTGTATTAACACATACTGGATCAACGGATGAAAAAATGTGCAAAATCTAAGACTCTTGTGGAAGACTCATAAAAAAAAAACCGACATATTACAAATGACGGGTCGCAGTCCGACCTTGAAACTCCGGACAGTTATATCGATCTCAGTCCGGCCTTGGTTGTTGTTGTTGTTGTTATCGATCCAGCGGCGCATGAGCTTTCGCCCTTTAACCCAATGCCATGTAGTGGAATTTGCATGTTTTCACAAGCTGTTCTTTTCCTCCGTACAAGGTGTTCCACCTGTCTGGTCTCAGAGGGAGTAGCGTTCTTCTTGTCTCACTGAGTTCTGGGCACTCAAAGAGATGGTGTTCAACAGTTTCGTAGGGGTAGTTACATAGCTGGCACTCTGGGGAGTGTTGTGGCTGTATTCTGTTTAGGTGTCCATTGAGTGGAGTATGTTGCGTTCTAAGTCTGAAGATGGTGGCCTGGTCCCTTCTTGTTAGATGGTTAATGCTGTACAGCACACCTCAGACAACATGCAACATACCAGAACTATACAAGACACAGTACCATAAAACCCTTCTTGTTGGTGACTTCAACGGACACGCGCCACGTTGGGGTTACCCTGACTACAATAGCACAGGGAAATACATCGAAGATACTTGTGAAACAACTAACCTATTAGTGCTGCAGGACACAGAGTCTACACCTACACTGTAACACAGGGCCCACCTATCTCTCAGCCGACCAGACCTGACCATCTGCTCATCCGACTCAACAGACGCAAGCTATCCCCAAGTCCTGGACGACATAGGAAGTGACTACAAACCTATACTCACAACTGTAAGCACCACCGCTAAATTACGCTTCAAGCAGAGAACCCGTTGGAATTTCCTAAAAGCAAACTGGAAACTATTTCAGGAAACATCTGACTGCCTCCTGGGAAGAATTGACAACAGCTGTGTGGAAACTTTTTGTGAAGACATTACACAAGCAATCCTGAATGCAGCGTCAAAAGCCATCCCAAGGGGCAGCCGAAAGGCATATAAACCTTTTTGGAATCAAGAAATTCAAAATACTATATCTGAAAGGAATAAAGCAAGAATATTGCTCGAAACTGCACGTTCAACAGAAGCAAAGATCCAATACAATAAAGCATGTGCCAGAGTAAAGCTTGTAGTTAATAAGGCTAAAAGAGATAAATGGACAGAAACTTGCTCCAACTTAGACCTTAGACAGAATGGAAATAAAGCATGGACTTTAGTTAAAAACCTCTCCGGAGAAAGTAGAAGGGTGAACCCAAAACCAGTGACAGATGGGAGTAAGACAATCACTGAAGACAAAAAGAAAGCAGAACATTTCAATCATTATTTTGCCTCAGTTAACAGAGCAGGTAAGCTGTCAGAACTCAATAGAACACAGCTCTCTCAGTTGAAGAAACAAGAGAGAGCCCCAACAGCATGGATGAATTAGAGCAAGCCCTGAAGAAATTAAAACCTAGAAAATCTCCAGGCCCAGATAAGATCCACAGCGAAATGCTGCTACATCTTGGCCGGTCTGGGAGAGAAGTAGTTCTTAGGCTTATTAATAAAACTTGGAGGTCAAGCAAACTTCCAAAAGGCATGGAGGAATGCATATATCGTCCCCATTCTTAAAACAAAAAAGCTTCCAGATGACCCCAAAAGCTACTGCCCAATATCCTTAACATCATGCTTGGGCAAAGTTGCAGAAAGAATGATAAACAGACGCTTATATTGGTTCCTTGAGAGTTCTGGTGTTCTATGCCATGAACAGGCAGGCTTCAGAACCAACAACTGTACAGAAGACCAGCTGTTCAGACTGACACAAAGAATACATGATGGCTTCCAGAATAAGAAACACACAGTGGCAGTCTTTGTCGACCTCCAGCAGGCCTATGACAGAGTATGGAGAAAAGGTCTCCTGATGAAGATGATGAGCATAGGAATACATGGCAGATTGTATAACTGGGTGAAATACTTCCTGATAGATAGAACAATCCAGACTAAGATGCACAACGCAATCTCTTCTAAAGAAGTCTTGGAGGAGGGCTTGCCACAAGGCTCATCATTGAGCTGTACACTATTCCTAATCTTTATCAATGACCTTGTACGCTGATGACCTAGCAATATGGCAGAGTCATGAAAATGTGGAAAGTGGAGCCCAAAGACTGAATGGAGACCTTAGAAGACTGCATGAGTACTGCCAAAGATGGAAACTCAAGGTTAACTGTGCAAAGACGGTCTACACAATCTTTACCAAAAGCCACCAAGTAGCAAGGAAGAATATTAACCTGAGGTTAGACAAACGCCAAGTAATGAAAGAAGAGCATCCCACATACCTTGGAGTCACACTTGACCGGCAGCTCAGCCTCAAGAACCATATTGAAAACATCAGGAATAAGGCATTGAGGCGGTTACAGTTATTAAAGAGACTTGCAGGTACATCATGGGGATCAGACAAGGAAACTCTGAGGGGCTTATATCTAGGATATGTTCGCTCTGTGATAGAGTACAGTCCGGCCTTGGAAATCCGGACAGTCACAACAATCTCAGTCCGACCTTGGAATCCGGACAGTCACAACAATCTCAGTCCGACCTTGGAATCCGGACAGTCACAACAATCTCAGTCCGACCTTGGAATCCGGACAGTCACAACAATCTCAGTCCGACCTTGGAATCCGGACAGTCACAACAATCTCAGTCCGACCTTGGAATCCGGACAGTCACAACAATCTCAGTCCGACCTTGGAATCCGGACAGTCACAACAATCTCAGTCCGACCTTGGAATCCGGACAGTCACAACAATCTCAGTCCGACCTTGGAATCCGGACAGTCACAACAATCTCAGTCTGACCTTGGAATCCGGACAGTCATATCGATCTTATCTTCTGCAGTCCAAACAAGGTAGTATAAGTATACCGGCTTACTGCCGAACGTAGTAGACAATATTCCAGCTTTCTGCTGAGGTTTATAGTGGAGTCCCGGGGAAGAGCGTCCTCAAGGATCCAACTTTGATTACCATTCCTTTAGTGGCATCCCGGGGTAAAGCATCCTCAAGGATCCACACGTCTGTCTCCTTTAGACTGTAAACATCGAATGCTTTGTGACAACAATACCTTAACAACCTTACATATTGTTTTGATGTCCTATTTGCTCACTCATTACTGGTGCGTTCTAGTGCACATCCGCACGCGACAGTTACTCAGTCAGCAGTGCTGGACACACATTGGAGTGACCTAGGCCGTTCTGGTACCTGATCCTTGATACTTGATGCATCACGTGAGAGTCAAGCTCTAAACTGATCCTTGATACTTGATGCATCATGTGAGAGTCAAGCTCTAAACTGATCCTTGATACTTGATGCATCATGTGAGAGTCAAGCTCTAACCTGATCCTTGATACTTCATGCATCACGTGAGAGTCAAGCACTAACCTGATCCTTGATACTTCATGCATCACGTGAGAGACAAGCTCTAATCTGATCCTTGATACTTGATGCATCATGTGAGAGTCAAGCACTAACCTGATCCTTGATACTTCATGCATCACGTGAGAGACAAGCTCTAATCTGATCCTTGATACTTGATGCATCATGTGAGAGTCAGCTCTAATCTGATCCTTGATACTTGATGCATCATGTGAGAGTCAAGCTCTAACTTGATCCTTGATACTTGATGCATCATGTGAGAGACAAGCTCTAACTTGATCCTTGATACTTAATGCATCATGTGAGTGTCAAGCACTAACCTGATCCTTGATACTTGATGCATCATGTGAGAGACAAGCACTAACTTGATCCTTGATACTTGATGCATCATGTGAGAGTCAAGCTCTAACCTGATCCTTGATACTTGATGCATCCTGTGAGAGTCAAGCACTAACTTGATCCTTGATACTTAATGCATCATGTGAGTGTCAAGCACTAACCTGATCCTTGATACTTGATGCATCATGTGAGAGACAAGCACTAACCTGATCCTTGATACTTGATGCATCATGTGAGAGACAAGCACTAACCTGATCCTTGATACTTGATGCATCATGTGAGAGTCAAGCACTAACCTGAACCTTGATACTTGATGCATCATGTGAGAGTCAAGCACTAACCTGATCCTTGATACTTGATGCATCATGTGAGAGTCAAGCACTAACTTGATCCTTGATACTTGATGCATCATGTGAGAGTCAAGCACTAACCTGATCCTTGATACTTGATGCATCATGTGAGAGTCAAGCACTAACTTGATCCTTGATACTTGATGCATCATGTGAGAGTCAAGCACTAACCTGATCCTTGATACTTGATGCATCATGTGAGAGTCAAGCACTAACTTGATCCTTGATACTTGATGCATCATGTGAGAGTCAAGCACTAACCTGATCCTTGATACTTGATGCATCATATGAGAGACAAGCACTAACCTGATCCTTGATACTTGATGCATCATGTGAGAGACAAGCACTAACCTGATCCTTGATACTTCATGCATCACGTGAGAGTCAAGCTCTAATCTGATCCTTGATACTTGATGCATCATGTGAGAGTCAAGCACTAACCTGATCCTTGATACTTGATGCATCATGTGAGAGTCAAGCACTAACTTGATCCTTGATACTTGATGCATCATGTGAGAGTCAAGCACTAACCTGATCCTTGATACTTGATGCATCACGTGAGAGTCAAGCTCTAACTTGATACTTGATGCATCACGTGAGAGACAAGCACTAACCTGATCCTTGATACTTGATGCATCACGTGGAAGACAAGCACTAATCTGATCCTTGATACTGCTGATCGTATATGATGGTGAATCATGTTTATTGGCATGACACATGATGTTGACTACAATATTTCCAGCGCTGAACGATTTTGTTTTTAAAGTTGTTGAGAAGCGATCGATTGGCCCATTTTTGGGCAACACTGGTTTACATCATGGCATTATATAGAAGTTAAAATTAATTTTAGACATAATAACATTCATTTGTGTTAAATACATTTGTTGCTTTTTACCTTTTTGTTGATGTCAAATGTAGGAATACTGTTGAGTTTTTACATTTATAATATTTTTCTCTTTTCGTGTTGTTATAACAGGCCTTAGTGTGGGATGATGGTTTGACTGGACCATTTGGACTAATTGCAGAAGCATCTTTATTAAAGGTAAAATTTCTTTGTAAAACCTTGCTTTGTGTTCATGTGATACGGTCAGTGTTAATGTTGTTGTATGCCCTGTCATAAACTCTAGATTGTAAAGCTCTTTTTGTATTTCCACATATTTCACCTTTGCCCAAAGGACCTTGACCCCATCTAATTTGTCATGCGTCAGATCACTAGTTTTACAGAACCATCCAGTCTGTCTGTTCAATTCCCATTACACCTGCATACCACGGTGAAAAGACCCAAAGGACATTACCTGCCCGGAACCTCTAAAGCGATGCTTGCCACTCTGCATGAAGCATGCCTATCTTAATCTTTCTCTGCATGCTTTTTGAGTCCTTTACAATCACAACATGTGTGTACACTTGATTCTCATGCCAGTCGAGGTTGTAGTGACTGCCTCCACATCCATTCTCAACTAGGTGTTATGCTATCCTAAGCTAGGTTGGTTTCCATTAAGTTGGTTTCCATTCACTTTTGCTATGAGCACCCAGTTTTTTGCCTCACAACACAGCACCATCTGGATAGATAATCACTTTAGCAAGTATTGTCATGAATAAGTGCCATTCTTATTAGCCTCATGTAATTTATGCAGTCCTATTTGGCTATCAACTGCAGCCTCTGTGAGAAAATTTCTTGTCTATTATCCCCAGCACTGTCCCATGCTTTTTTCTACACACTGAAATACCCAGAACTGAGAAGCCTGTTACCAGGGATTTCCTCCACATTCTTAAGCCAGACCTTTATAACAAATAAGTTCACAGTGGCATTGCCATTTACTAAATTTTAATTGTGCAGTCATTATCTGTATACCCTGAACCTCACTTGCACTGTGATTCCACTGGTTCACGTCAAGTATCACATGCTTCACTCCCTTCTTCACCAGCAGACATTGCCCAAATCTCTCCTGTTCAGTAGAATTTTTATTGCTGATATATCTGGGACATCAGTATTTATCTTTATTAAACTCACATCTTGCTTTAAATCAGCCTGTCATTCAAGCCTTCTCTGGCATGAAAGTTGGAGAAACCAACATTAACATGCTTGAATTCCAGTGTCTCTGTTATTCCATCTTACTGTCATGCTTCCTGCTCTTCTCTTTCTGCCTTCTGTCTCCTTTCCTGTTGTTCATCCTCTCCTCTTTAATAAGACAAAATTGAGTGCACAGCACACACTCCCTAGTTCCTGTGATGATTCTTTTGAGATACAAAATCACAAGGAAGAATTCTTTCACTGCACAAAATAAACAGTCACACTAGTAGTGCCTGCTTGCTAGGTAAGTGACAGGGGATATCCTCAAGGAGTTTGTACGCCTGGTGCCGCCCCTTAAACTGACCAGTCATTCTGTCATTGAGATAATATGTCTCTCCAATCATCTCCCATGAAGGTATTGCTGGTGTGTTCCATTGCCTAAGAAATCTACAAGCCTGGATTTTCAGGATCATTTGACAACTCAAGTGTGCATGTTATATGAGTGATGTATCTTTGATCATTTACATTTTTTCAACAGCCTTTTCCCCCCCAGTCTACCCAAAACCCCTACTTGGTTGTTTTTGTTTCTTTGATATATGGCCTATTGTTCTGTAAATTGAAATCTCCAAAATTGATTGGATTGCTGCAATGTGGACATCACTTTTGCCTGTTGTTTGCTGGTCTATGGGTTTGACTTCCTAAGTGTTTCTAAAACAACCTCAAGACTCTAAATTTCTTCTGCTTGTTTTCTTTCCTAAGTTTCTTTGGGAATAGTTTCAGTCAATGATAGAAAGAAGTTTCTTTGGGAATAGTTTCAGTCAATGATAGAAAGAAGTTTCTTTGGGAATAGTTTCAGTCAATGATAGAAAGAAGTTTCTTTGGGAATAGTTTCAGTCAATGATAGAAAGAAGTTTCTTTGGGAATAGTTTCAGTGGATGATAAAAAGAAGTTTCTTTGGGAATAGTTTCAGTCAATGATAGAAAGAAGTTTCTTTGGGAATAGTTTCAGTGGATGATAGAAAGAAGTTTCTTTGGGAATAGTTTCAGTCAATGATAGAAAGAAGTTTCTTTGGGAATAGTTTCAGTCAATGATAGAAAGAAGTTTCTTTGGGAATAGTTTCAGTGGATGATAAAAAGAAGTTTCTTTGGGAATAGTTTCAGTCAATGATAGAAAGAAGTTTCTTTGGGAATAGTTTCAGTGGATGATAGAAAGAAGTTTCTTTGGGAATAGTTTCAGTCAATGATAGAAAGAAGTTTCTTTGGGAATAGTTTCAGTCAATGATAGAAAGAAGTTTCTTTGGGAATAGTTTCTGTGAATGATAGAAAGAAGTTTCTTTGGGAATAGTTTCAGTGGATGATAGAAAGAAGTTTCTTTGGGAATAGTTTCAGTCAATGATAGAAAGAAGTTTCTTTGGGAATAGTTTTAGTCAATGATAGAAAGAAGTTTCTTTGGGAATAGTTTCAGTCAATGATAGAAAGAAGTTTCTTTGGGAATAGTTTCTGTGAATGATAGAAAGAAGTTTCTTTGGGAATAGTTTCAGTGAATGATAGAAAGAAGTTTCTTTGGGAATAGTTTCAGTCAATGATAGAAAGAAGTTTCTTTGGGAATAGTTTCTGTGAATGATAGAAAGAAGTTTCTTTGGGAATAGTTTCAGTGAATGATAGAAAGAAGTTTCTTTGGGAATAGTTTCAGTGAATGATAGAAAGAAGTTTCTTTGGGAATAGTTTCAGTGAATGATAGAAAGAAGTTTCTTTGGGAATAGTTTCAGTGAATGATAGAAAGAAGTTTCCTTGGGAATAGTTTCAGTGAATGATAGAAAGAAGTTTCTTTGGGAATAGTTTCAGTGAATGATAGAAAGAAGTTTCTTTGGGAATAGTTTCAGTCAATGATAGAAAGAAGTTTCTTTGGGAATAGTTTCAGTGAATGATAGAAAGAAGTTTCTTTCTTAAAAAACATTTGAAAAATGTAATTTTTAAAGATTTTTTGGCATGAGAGGGTTAATAGAGTGCTAGACTAGAAGTTCTTGAGACATTGCTTATTCTTGCCACTTAGCAAAGCATTTGATGATGATTATATGTGTAAACTCTTGATTTTACTTGGGCATGTGTGAGAGAATTCCATTCTTGGTGTTAGCAGTTGCTGTCTTCATAATCCAGTCTATAGCCAGTAAAAATAGGAGAGGCGACAAAAGACATCCCTGTCACACCTGTATTTATTTCAAATTTATCTGTAAGCTTTCCCTCTTGAAAAACTCGACATTTAATGTCATTATATGTTGCCTTTACTAAGCTAATAATTTTTTGTGGGATTCCATAGTGTCCCAGAGAAATTCCCTTTCAGTGCTGTCAAATATTTTTTCATAGTCTATAAATCCAATGTAAGGTGGTGAGTTTAGTTCAATGCTTTGCTCTATTATTAAACGTAATGTGGCTATCTGATCAGTACAGGATCTGTTTGACCGAAAACCTGCCTGTTCATCTCTTAACTTTTTATCAATAGCATCTTTTAACCTTTCCAAAATAATTCTACTTAATATTTCTCCAAGAACTGACAGCAACATAATTCCTCTATAGTTTTCACACTCCTGTAGATCACCTTTTTGGGGGCAGCTTCACTAGATATCCTTCTCTCCAGTCTGCTGGTATTTCTTCGGTCTCCCAGACTTTCCATAAATAATCTATGTAGCAATTCCGTTGATGTGTTTATATTACCCTTAAAAGCTTGTGCTGAAATACCATCTGGACCTGCCACCTTTACTTCCGTTAGAAAATCGATAGCTTTTCTAATTTCCTCTTTGGATGGTATCTCACAGTTGATATCCATTTCCATTTCTAAAGGCTGGATATCTGAAGGAACTCCTGGGCCTGGTCTATTTAGAAGCATTTCAAATTATTCAGCCCATCTGTTCATTTGAACTTTGGTGTTAGTAAGTACCTTTCCTTGACTATTTTTGATTGATCCAGTTGGCTGACTATATTTACCTACTAGTTTTCTTGTGTTACTGTAAAGTTCTCTGAGGTTTTCTTCTGCTGCTGCTGTCTCCGCTTCTTGTGCTAGATCATTTAAATATTTCAATTTATCTGCCCATATAAGCCTCCTAATTTCTTTACTGGCTTCTGTGTATTTATCCTGAGCTCTGGCTTTAGCAGCTCTAGTTTTGCTATTGTTTAAGTTTCAACTTGATTTTACTTATCACCAGAAAATGGTCACTAAATACATCAGCAGCTCTGAAAGCCCTAACATCATCAAGGGATGATCTACACTTTTTGTTAATACATAGGTGATCAGTTTGTCTTATGGTTTGTTGATTTCCATGTTGCCTTATATATTCTTTTATGGGGAAAAATACTTCCACCAATAACATACTGGTTTCTTGCACAAAAATTTGTGAATAATTCTCATTTTCATTCATTACTCCTAGACCATGTCTTCCCATAATTTCTTCATAACCTGTGTTGTCTGATCCTATCTTAGCCTTCAGGTCACCCATCAAAATTTTTAAGTTGCCTTTTCTTTCATTATTTATAACATTTTGAAGCTGCATGTAAAATTCTTCCTTAACAGATGCATCTTTGTCATTTGTTGGTGCGTAACACTGTATTACTGACATGTTCACCTTTTGTTTCGCTGTTCTAAATGATGCTCTTATTATTCTGGGACTCACAGTTTCCCATTTTATTAGTGCCCTGTCTGCTTCTTTCGACAGCCTCAGGGCCACTCCTTCACTGTGGTGCGAATTATCCTCTGTGTGTCCTGAGAACAAAATAGTTTCCCCTGAATTTAGAATCCTTTTCCCCGCCTCAGTCCATCTAGTTACATATAACCCTAAAATACTAATTCTGTAATGTTTCATTTCCCTTGCTACTTCCATTATTCTCCCTATATCATAGAGAGTTCTAACATTATAGGAGGTTTGTCGATGATCCGGATGGCTTTTGGCTTTCTCCACACTGTGTCATACTTCTTCTTCTTGAAGAGACTCCCCTCTTCTTGGTTGGCTGGGTTTTACTTGTTTCTCTTTTTGACTTATCCATGGTTGGTTGTTTTTGTGTGGCTATTGTTTTTACAGGATGAGGTTGCCAACCTCATGCCCAACCCCACCCTTAGTCGCCTCTTAGGACATGCCTGGTAGGGTGCAGTGTCACTATTCTTTGCTTCCCATGAGGGCCTTTTGGGAACAAGCAACAGAATCAGTAGAGAAAGAAGATTATTATGGCCTAGAGAGAATGAGGCACCTGGGGGTAACCAGAGGGTCAGGCCATCTGACTACACTCAGAGGAAAGGCAAGACGGACATATAACCAGATTGGGACCGGTACCATCAGTATTGAAACTCTGTGCTGGCTGCTGAAGATGACAGAACATGCATGGGAATGCCCCGAGGGCTGTGAGGTCAATTCTCGACTCAGCTTGACTCAACTCAACTCAGCTCGACTCAGCTCAACTCAACTCAACTCAGCTCTACACCTGAAGGCAAGAAAAGGGTCCTGTACTTATAGATGATTTTGTTTTAAACTTTGATTTGATGATTTCATTATCATCAGTGATTTTTTAAAAGCATCAAAAAGCCGAGAAACCCAGTCTTACCATCCTCTAAAATGTTGGCTGTTCTGTGACGTCATCTGGGGTAAGATATTACAAAAGGACCTAATTATCTAGTAATATTGCTTGCTTGATTGTTTTTAATAGGAGCAGCATGAAGTGGAGAGAATGTTTAGACTGCAGTCATCTGGTCTACCTGCAAGTAGTGTACAGAACATCATTTTCATTGTAAGACCACGACTCAGTTTAATGGAGGTCATTTCCCAGTGCTTACTCAGGTATGCAACATTTCGTTTTTAATTTTAATTCTGTAATTAATTGTGAAGCTTTTGAATATTTTACTACTCAGACACTAAGGCTGCTTTACACTTTTCTGACCAGCAATCCGGGGCATCACTGTCTCATATTACCAAGGTGGTTGGATTTGAAAAAAAAAAAGACTGGTTTTCTAATAAAATTCATTAAAAAAATCAAAATCCAGCATAGAGCTTTGAAATCTTTAGAGCACCATATGAATGGTTGTTACACATGAAAAATATATATTTTGCAAATCTGTCACATGATTATGGCAACCATTTTGAATTTGTGTGGCTATTTATAGAAATTTCAGGGGATGTTTTAAAACCATAATCTTTTTCCAGTTCTTAGTGAATTTGTTCAATGTCAGTGCAATAAAATGTTGGGGACATGGTTGGTGATGAATAAAATTAGCTAAATAGGAGGAATTATTTAATGATTAACAAAATATTTCAACATTAAAAGCGAATGTAAATGAGAATGAAGTGGAAAAAAATATTTTACATTTTGTGTGTATATCTGTCATGTTACAATGAGCATTTGTAAATACACCTCTAGTTGAAGTCTGAGATACTTCCTTCATTTACTGGAGCTGAAGCTGTAGCCCTCTTGTGTTTTTTGGGGAATGTTGATAATCCTCAACTGTGTGGTAAAGCTTGAAACAGGCTGTCTCACATAGAGGTACAGTATATCCAAGTCTAGCTTTTTTTAGCTGCAACCTTACACACTTTACAATCTGGTTGGTTTCTTGGCTTTCATATTTTTCACACACACAAATGGCTCGCAGTAAGTTGTGATACTGTGACCTGTGGTCTTGAAGGTTGTTACATTATTCTGTGACCTGTGGTCTTGAAGGTGTTACATTATGCTGTGACCTGTGGTCTTGAAGGTGTTACATTATGCTGTGACCTCTGGTCTTGAAGGTTGTTACATTATTCTGTGACCTGTGGTCTTGAAGGTGTTACATTATGCTGTGACCTCTGGTCTTGAAGGTGTTACATTATGCTGTGACCTGTGGTCTTGAAGGTGTTACATTATGCTGTGACCTGTGGTCTTGAAGGTTGTTACATTATTCTGTGACCTGTGGTCTTGAAGGTGTTACATTATGCTGTGACCTGTGGTCTTGAAGGTGTTAAATTTTGCTGTGACCTGTGGTCTTGAAGGTTGTTACATTATTCTGTGACCTGTGGTCTTGAAGGTGTTACATTATGCTGTGACCTGTGGTCTTGAAGGTGTTACATTATGCTGTGACCTGTGGTCTTGAAGGTGTTACATTATGCTGTGACCTGTGGTCTTGAAGGTGTTACATTATGCTGTGACCTGTGGTCTTGAAGGTGTTACATTATGCTGTGACCTGTGGGTTTGAAGATGTTACACTATGCGGTGACCTGTGGTCTTGAAGGTGTTACATTATGCTGTGACCTGTGGTCTTGAAGGTGTTACATTATGCTGTGACCTGTGGTCTTGAAGGTGTTACATTATGCTGTGACCTGTGGTCTTGAAGGTGTTACATTATGCTGTGACCTGTGGTCTTGAAGTTGTTACATTATGCTGTGACCTGTGGTCTTGAAGATGTTACACTATGTGGTGACCTGTGGTCTTGAAGGTGTTACATTATGCTGTGACCTGTGGTCTTGAAGTTGTTACATTATGCTGTGACCTGTGGTCTTAAAGGGTGTTACATTACACTGTGACCTATGGTCTTGAAGGGTGTTACATTATGCTGGGATCTGTGGTCTTGAAGGTGTTACATTATACTGAAGAACAACAGGTCCAGTAAGAGCAAGACTGACATCCTGCCTGAATCTCTTTGCTGTGATCTCATTCATAGAGCTGACAGTGCTTTAGCTTATAGGCTCACTGACCGGAGTAGTGTCAACTAAAAATAAATGAACGATATAATGGCAGGTACCATTTTATAAGATCTAGGTGGGTAGGGGTGGTTTTCATCCAGCTGGCAGAAGTGATCGACAACCACCCCCTTCCTCCCCCATACTGTTGTATTTTTCTGCAAGAACTTTCCAGAACAGACAGGAAACTATGGCGGTAGGACTGGATCTCGAGGATGCTTATACCAGTCGGCATACCACAGTGAGATATGACATCTAAATGACTGCACTGAAGGAGAAGGAGGTCAGTCCATGGCTGGTGAACTGGGTTGCAGCTGTCCTGTATTCACGTCGGGTTGCTCTCTGACTGGGCTCATGGACCTCAGAACCATGCACTATGGCCCCAGGACTGCCACAGGGATCCGCCATCTCGCCTGTGCTTAACGAGTATACGAGCAAGATTGCAAGCCTAGAAGCACCAGGAGTTGGAAGGATACTGACTTTTACAGATGATATACTTGCATATAGGCAGGGAGAAGAGAGGAGCCCGAGAGCTACAAGCGACAGTAGACAAAGTGACTGAGTGGTGTACAGAAATGAGAGCTGTCGTCCACCTGGAAAAGGCGTCTCTTTTGTGGTGTTCTCTGGACAACAGAATCGTTAAAACTAATGTCCCAAGTCTCACGATAGATGGTAGAGACGTCAACAGAGAGAGAAAACTGAAGTATCTGTCATTTAAGGACCATGTGGAGAGTGTTGTGACGAGATGCCAAAAAGGACTTAGTGCACTTAAGACTATGGCTGCAATTGACATAGAGCAGAGAATGCTTTTCACACTATATCAACACCTGATCCTGTCAGTGGTGGATTATGGCCTGGGACTGCTTACCGCCTCAAAGAGTCAGATGGACAAACTAGAGCGCATACAGAACGCAGCTATGCGGGTCATTCTGGGTTGCACCAGAGACACCCCAGTGGTGTGTATGCGATACATCCTTGTTTGGCCGACGGTTGCAGGTAGGCACAATGTGCTGCGAAGTCATATCTCAAGGTAGCTGCAGACACAGGCCACCCTCTGCATGAAGCTCTGGGTGCAGTTAAGGGTCAGCGGCTGATAAGAGGGAGGTCATGGATGGCTCAGGCAGAAGACACAATCAGACAGGTTTGCATCCTTGAGAACATTAGGCGAGGAGAGGAGTGGGTTAAAGTGCCACCTGAACAGTCAGACTTGTGTAGGGTCATAAGGACACTGAGCCGGGAATGCAGAGACTGGCCAGCTGGTGCCACAGAGGTGGAAATTCAGCAGTTAATTCAAGATAATGCTCGCTCAGAGGATTTGATCATTTACACGGACCGTTCAGTGTCAAGAGGCAAAAGAAGTGCTTGGGGCTTTTTAGCAAATGTTAATGGTTGACATTTGGTGCAGGAAAGCCTAGCATATGATACCACAACATCCAGCTTAAGAATGGAGGTGGAGGCGGTCGCTGCAGCTTTCCGCTGGCTAAATAACACGACGAACTCACACATCGTGATTGTAACTGCTTCAGAAAGCATGGTGAGGAAGATCAGAACAGGTATGCTTTGGGCAGAGTGGCATGCTTCTCTGCGGAGGACACGAGTGAGGAGTATTGTCTGGATTTTTTCATCGGGTTACGCAGGTTTGTTGGGAAATGAACAGGCGGACAGACTAGCTGGTTCTGCACAACTTGATGTTATACTGATGCATGATAAGGCAGACGTGGTTAGTGCCTTGTGGGAGAGCATGTACAATTCGGAGGAGCAGATGGATCACCACAGTCTGGTGAGATTGATGCAGTTGGGAGTGACAAGAGGTTCTGGCAGATGCTCGAGGCTCAGAGGAAAGGCAAGACGGACGTTTAATCAGAATGCTACTGGCACCATTAGTATCGGAACTCTTCACTGGCTGCTGAAGATGGGGACGGAGCGCTAATGGGAATGCCCCAAGTTCTGTGATGTCGGTTCTTGAATCAAATTAAATCAAATCTGCAAGAACTGACTGAGTCTGTCAAAAAGGAAAAGAAAGAAAATAGAAAACACACGTCTAATATAGTTAATATCAGTCATTGCACACATACAGAGATAGTCTGGTATGCCGACTCTAGAAGACGCAACATATAAGCCAGTGTTTAAATTAGTGGTCGATTAAAGTGCATTGTTAGAGTTAAAAAAAAAAACATTTGTTTATTGCATGCTAAAATATCTGTTGTGTTTAAACAACGGAAAGTAAAGATAACTTATATACCTTTAAATGATCAACAAATTCGCCCCCCCCCCCCCCCCCCCTCCTCCCTTTCATCCCAAAAAAAATGAGAATAGCAGAGGAAGCGGTATTAAATTATAAATATTTAAGAAATGAGAACTGTAGAATAATTTTTTAAGCTCTCTCAGCTAACAGTGTCTGTCATCAACTCCCCTGTTTACAAACAGCATTTTCAGCTGTAGAAATGTTCTGTTTCTGTGTGCCCCACCCACGTCTTTCTTCAGATGTACCTTCATCATTAAGTCTATTATTGTTGTCGCTACTTTTAGTTGCAATATGATGATAACATTCACAGATGAATCTCTGCTTATCCAAGAATTATCTTTTTTAGCGCAGATTTGCTGGGAGATTCCGAATCATCGATACTAAGGGTCTGGGTTTCGTCTCAGACATGGATAAAAGGCTGAATATGTGCCAGTAACGAAAATTATAAAAAATTTACTGAAAACAATGTTTGTATCTGCTCAAAGTCATATCGTTCGTAGGTGCAGCCATCTTGACATAATAAAAATACTCGGATAAAGCTCAATTAAAAAGCTGTTGGTAGGGATGTTTGTTTGCAGTCTACATGTCACTAATTTGCTGATTGTTGAAGTAGGTCACCAAGGGATATGACCAGAAATTGGCCGATCGTTGAAGTAGGTCACCAAGGGATATGACCAGAAATTAGCCGATCGTTGAAGTCGGTCACCAAGGGATATGACCAGAAATTGGCCAATCGCTGAAGTAGGTCACCAACTGATATGACCAGAAATTGGCCGATCGTTGAAGTAGGTCACCAAGGGATATGACCAGAAATTGGCCGATCGTTGAAGTAGGTCACCAAGGGATATGACCAGAAGTTGGCCGTCGTTGAAGTAGGTCACCAAGGGATATGACCAGAAATTGGCCGATCGTTGAAGTAGGTCACCAAGGGATATGACCAGAAATTGGCCGATCGTTGAAGTAGGTCACCAAGGGATATGACCAGAAATTGGCCGATCGTTGAAGTAGGTCACCAAGGGATATGACCAGAAATTGGCCGATCGTTGAAGTAGGTCACCAAGGGATATGACCAGAAATTGGCCGATCGTTGAAGTAGGTCACCAAGGGATATGACCAGAAATTGGCCGATCGTTGAAGTAGGTCACCAAGGGATATGACCAGAAATTGGCCGATCGTTGAAGTAGGTCACCAAGGGATATGACCAGAAGTTGGCCGATCGTTGAAGTAGGTCACCAAGGGATATGACCAGAAATTGGCCGATCGTTGAAGTAGGTCACCAAAGGATATGACCAGAAATTGGCCGATTGTGAAAGTTGGCCAGCAAAGTGTCCATGAGCAGTTTACAGATACAATTTTTTTTGATTTCACTAGAAGAGTGAGTTGAGTCAAGAATTGACATCACAGCACTCGAGGCATTCCCATGTGTACTCTGTCCTCATCTTCAGCAGCCGGCGCAGAGTTCCAATATTAATGGTACCACTGGTTAAATGTCCGTCTTGCCTTTCCATTAAGGGTAGTGAGCCAGCCAGACCCCCTGGTTACGCCCAGATGCCTCATTCTCTCCAGGCCATAATAATCTTGTTTCGCTTCTGACTCCGTTGTTTGTTCCCAAAGGGACCTGATTACATCTGCCTTGTTATGTAACAATACACCACCCAGTGATGCAGATCCAGCCAATCTGTCTGTCTGTTCATTCCCCACCACGCCAGCTCAGCCTGGAGAAAAGATTCAAAGTAGGCTCGCTACCCATGGCCTTCCCAGTAAAGCTTGCCACTCTGCTCAAAGCATCCCTGTCTTCACCTTTCTCAGCATGCTTTCAGAGTTTGTTACTGTTATGATGTGTGTATGCATCTAAGAGTATGCATAGAAGAGTTTTGAACTTTAATGTTGTGCTCCCCAAAATGTTCCAAGAATGAGAACAAATACTGACTGGAATCTTACTAGAGCACTACAGTTGTATGACTCATAAATATCTTCATGTCTTGGAAGATGTCATTAGAAAAATCTTTAAATCTGATGGTGGGGAATAACATTGTATTAAAGTGTACTAGATTAGGAAAACAACCGTTATTGCTGTTTTCATATGAGTATTTTTTGTAACAAAATAGTAACATACATTATTTGGGGATGCAAGGCTGCCACTGTGACACTTACCTAACAAGCCTTACCTAATTGATCAACTAAGTCTGATCCTAGCTCTGTATCTAGACTATACCATGATGACATGCATATTGTCTCATTTACCATCTTCATCTGACTTACAAGTCTCTTCTTCTTCATCAGGTTGAAATAGAAATTAGTGAATGCATTTTAGAGCAAATAATCCAATCAGCATTACATGCTAACAAAAAGTTTTCTAATTAATGAATACAACAAATGTCTCTTTGTTTTGTCCATTCAGTGAGGAGATGAAAGGTGGATATGTGAGGAAAGAGTTCTATCTGCTCTTTGTTCCAAGAAAAAGTCTTCTTTGTGAGAAGAAGTTAAAAGTAAGCTGATCAGTTGCCATTTCTGTACAAATGTCCTAGAACTTGATGTCCCAACCTGAGTTGTATGCTACTGATCATGTTTGTGTGTGGTTTGATTACAGTTCTTGTTCATTGTTTTGACATAGTTAATCAATATGTAGTATTGAACTTTTGTAAGAAGTTCAGTATTTTTAGTTATCAAGTGTCTTTATTGCATGATTAAGTTATACAATGCCTAATTGAACATATTACAGGACATGTTTGCCTGTGGATAGCACCAGTTCTGTGTAATTCATTGTTGTATATAAAGTGCTTTATGCCTCTCTTGTCACAGCCCACCTGAAATGCTATAGATCTTTTACCAATTCTCCTGCTTCATGCAATGTCATGCTTCGAGGGGTCTTTAGTGTCCTATACCCACCATTTATCAGTTGGCCTCTGCTTCCATTTTTTAAAGCACCATACCTTCTATAACGCCTTTCTAAATCACTTTCACATGTGGTGTGGTCAAAATATTTTAGTTTCTGAGAAATTCTTTTTTTTATAGTTTTCTTCAATGCTGAGATCTTATTGAATATCAGTCTGTTTTTGTTTCCTAGACCCAGGATCTAATTTCTTTAGTATTTTAAGTTCCAATTGCTAAATTTTCTTCTTTAGTATTTGTAACATGGTTTCTGTGATTCTTATTAAAAAAAATGGGCTCTCATCTGAATAATGGTCCTAAATCCTCAAGGCTAAGAAAATACCCTAACAGGGCTTCAATGGTATATAAAATTAGGATTTCTTTCAGGTGAATACACCAGACACGGGCGGCAAATCACTTGAATAGTCCCGCAACATTGTACCAGTTTCATTTGCACACATAACCCTTTAATTGTTAGTGTCGCGGTTGGACTGTTGTGATAGATTCTGGTGGTGGTGTCGTAATTAAAATACTCCTTGCCCTAACCCTAGGACCCAGGGGAGAAGTTAAACCTAGGACCCAGGTGAGAAGTTAAACCTAGGATACAGCTAAGAAGTTAAATCTAGGACCCAGCTAAGAAGTTAAATCTAGTACCCAGCTAAGAAGTTAAACCTAGGACCCAGGTGAGAAGTTAAACCTAGGATACAGGTGAGAAGTTAAACCTAGGACCCAGGTGAGAAGTTAAACCTAGGACCCAGCTAAGAAGTTAAACCTAGGACCCAGCTAAAAAGTTAAATCTAGGACCCAGGAGAGAAGTTAAACCTATGACCCAGGGGAGAAGTTAAACTAAGGATCCAAATGGGAGAAGTTAAACCTTGGACCCAGGGAGAAGATGAACCTTAGACCCCTGGGAAAAGTTAAACCTAGGAGCTAGGGGAAAGGTTAAACCTAGGACTCAGGGGAGAAGTTAAACCTAAGACCCAGGGGAGATGTTAAACCTATGACCCAGTGTTGGGGCTTATGGTCTGCCTGCCATGATGACAATTCTGTGGTAGTTTTTGCATTTTGCGAACTTATCGCCCAAAATTAATCCTACTTTTGCCGTGGTGTACTCCCTGCCAGCGAAGAGTCCAGTTCAAATAGTACCAGTAACAACTTGATGATATGTCCATCTTGCAGTTCCGTTGAGTGTTGATCATGTTTCCTGGGCACTCCTTGCTGCATCATTCTCTTCCAGCACTGATGATTTATTCATGCTTCCACATTGTTGGCTTGCTCCTGAGGGCTTTGGCCACATCTGGCTTGTCCTGCATGGCTTGTCTTCATAACAAAGTAGTGCAGAACCCGCCAGTCTGCTGCCTGCTTGCTCATTTTCCAATAAATCACAAACCCTAGGAAAAAAATCCAGAGAACGCCAACTGCCTGTGACTTCTGAAGTTATGCTTGCCACTCTGTACGGAGCATGCCTGTCTCCACTTTCTTAGCAAGCGTTGTGCTTTTGTTACAATCACAACATGTGTGCATCTATTGTGCTTTTGTTACAATCACAACATGTGTGCATCTATTGTGCTTTGTTACAATCACAACATGTGTGCATCTATTGTGCTTTTGTTACAATCACAACATGTGTGCATCTATTGTGCTTTTGTTACAATCACAACATGTGTGCATCTATTGTGCTTTTGTTACAATTACAACATGTGTGCATCTATTGTGCTTTTGTTACAATCACAACATGTGTGCATCTATTATGCTTTTGTTACAATCACAACATGTGTGCATCTATTGTGCTTTTGTTACAGTCACAACATGTGTGCATCTATTGTGCTTTTGTTACAGTCACAACATGTGTGCATCTATTGTGCTTTTGTTACAATCACAACATGTGTGCATCTATTGTGATTTTGTTACAGTCACAACATGTGTGCATCTATTGTGCTTTTGTTACAGTCACAACATGTGTGCATCTATTGTGCTTTTGTTACAATCACAACATGTGTGCATCTATTGTGATTTTGTTACAGTCACAACATGTGTGCATCTATTGTGCTTTTGTTACAATCACAACATGTGTGCATCTATTATGCTTTTGTTACAGTCACAACATGTGTGCATCTATTGTGCTTTTGTTACAATCACAACATGTGTGCATCTATTATGCTTTTGTTACAGTCACAACATGTGTGCATCTATTGTGCTTTTATTACAATCACAACATGTGTGCATCTATTGTGCTTTTGTTACAGTCACAACATGTGTGCATCTATTTGTCAAGGTAGTGAAAAGCTGCTGTGACTGTTTCCACATCCATTCTCCAACTAGATATTGTGGTATCATATTATTGCAGCTTTAGTAGAGCTCTTAGTAAAGCAGAGTCCATATGCAAGAGATAGTCATCAGCCTGAAAATGGCTCATGAGAAGTAGTATAACTATTATGTCTAAAAGGTTTCTCATCTGCCACTTAATTCAGTAAAATAGCCACCGTAGAGAAAGCAGTAGTGGCATTCTGATGCATGGTTTCCACTCATGCCACATTAGTCCATTTTGAACTTTCTGCAGTGCCGACTGAGAATCAGACACAATCATTCCTCTGGTAACTTTATTTTTTGCTATCCACTTCAGGTCTGCAGTGAATGCCTCCACTTTCATTCTCATGCTTGAAGTTGTCAATAAAAAAGCTCCATTTTGTTCTACCACAATTTTCCCTTCATTCTAGCTGAAAATCCCTAGCCAGATCTGACACCCCGATGAAGAGAACTATGGGTGTACTATGGCCCTAGGAGAAGAAGAAGACATTAAAACCTGCTACACTGACACGGGATGCCAATAACCTTTGCTACCCATCCAGCAATGGATCACAAAATGTTCCTCCCCATGAATCTTAACCCTACCAGACCTGAGGCCCTGAACCTAACTGTCCCTATAACCTGAGCTCCTGGGCATTTAACCCTACCAGACCTGAGGCCCTGAACCTAACTGTCCCTAAAACCTGAGCTCCTGGGCATTATTAGTTACATGCAAACGAGTGGCTAGAATATGATGAAACTTGGAGACATTGTAGAAAATAGGCTTACTTTTTATCTAGCGCCAATATTCCACCTTCGTTTGTGAATCACTCATCAGGATCAACTTTGTTTCACAAAGTGAACACCAGATGTTGCCATTTTATGGACACACCCCCTTCTCCTACAGTCGATCTATTTTAAGATTTATAATTTTCAAGATTTTCCTCATCATTTGCGCTCTCACTGACAGTGTCACTTCTGGAACTTATTCTTTATGAAATTATCACAGATAATGAATATATACATATATATATATCACAGAGTCTGAATAAACCAAAGTAACGATCACCTGTTGGACTGTGAAAATCCTAGAACTTGGTTTATCAGCCACTCGTTTCATTGTGAATTTTCAGAATTTTTCCACGTTAAAACAATTCAAATATAATCCAAACACATGCGGGCAGACATTTGCAATGTCTAACAAAGAGGATTGATAACGATTGCGTGGTAATTTTTAGTCCGTGACGCATCGTTTTCCCGTACTACGCAAAAAGCCAAAAATTAGGGACCCGGGTATAGAGACAGGTTAAGAAATTCCCGGTAAACCGGGCCAGCGGTCTGGTAGGGTTAAGGGAAAAGTGGAAATTGATGATAGTCGTGATGCTGTCTTTTCTTAACATAATACCGATAGACACAGCTGGGCTAGAGAAAAGAAATGTGATAAATATTAGCTTGAGTAAATACATTAAACATTTGTGCATCAAGTTATCAAACAGAAGTTCTACAGGTAAGTGCTTATTCACACTAAAAATATTTTCTTTGTAATAAACTGTTTTATATTTTCAGGAGTTGGGTGTTTATGGTTCTTTTGCAAGTGTTGATGAATTTAACTTGGGACTCATTCCCTTTGATTCTGACCTTCTATCAATGGAGATGGATGAACTATACAGGGTGTGTTGTTTATTTCAGTTCAGTTAAAAATTTTAACTTTAACCTTATTACAGTAAGACGTTTCAGTTAAATGCACTTGTCGCAGTTAACCATGATTTAAGTTACAGTTTGTTGCTTATTTATTAACCTAATTGATGCCTTTACACCTCGGCAGATCCACTGTAGCTATCTCTTTCTGGTCAGATATCCCAAAGCACACAACTGTGTATAGTCATGTAAAGTCTTCCTGCGTCTAAAGTTCAACCAGTACTACATTTATTTATCAATTCTTTGTCTTAATTCCATCATTTACTGTCTCAGCAGTCACAAGTTACTGCCACTACATTCATCATCATCCTGTTGTGCCATTATATGTCACAGGAGGCTCACAGTCTACTCCTTCCTTGAGTTCTGTCCAGTGCGATTCTTTCAATATCATGGATGGAATCCAAGCAGACACCTTTGGCTTCTCCCAACAAGTGTTCATGTGAATATTTCTCTTGGATGCCCATCTGTTTCTCTTTTCAGTCTCCTGTGACTTTCTGTAGCAAACTAAGTGTGTGTGTGTGGGTAAAGAAACTGTTTCACAAGTTGGCATGTTCTCCTTGCAGTTGTCTTCTCTAATAGTTTCCCTGTCATTTACTGCATTTTAAATTGTTTGACCATCATAGCCTGGGACTACCCAGTCTGCAGTGCTGGACACAACATGGAGTGTCCCAGGCAATCATGGGAGTGACCATTTGCCATGCTCAGTATTGATTTCTAAAGCTAGAAAGATCAGGGCTGTGAGATCGCGCTGGACTTTTAAGTATGAGACATTACTCTTCTTGGACGCCTCTGACAGAAGGTATACAGCAGAACCACCACCTCTGCTTTTTATACAGCCTCTATGGTGGACCCAAAAAGTAGAACAGGCATGGAGAGCAAAGCCAGCAGCAGTTAAACAATGACAGAAAGTGTGAAAGGCACCTCACAGGTTACAAGAGGATGTAGAGAAGCTAGAAAGAGAAAAAAAAAGTAGAAGATTTCAAGCGCTGTGCAGCAGATGCAAAAAAGGCTAAATGGGAACAATTTATGAGTGAAATTGGAGGGGATAGCTAACTGGGTAGGTTTTGGAAACTGTGCAGACGATGCACTGGAAGGATCACCCTCTCACAACAGGGCTTATATACACTCATAATGATATGTTAATGACAACAGACAAAGAGAAAGTGGAAGCATTTTTGAAGAGATTTATAGCCCAAACCGATCATAATGAAAGGGAGCTTAAAAATGCAGTTAGAGATAATCTGTCTAATACTATAAATGATAATTGTTTTCAGGATATCATTAGGGTGGAGGTTACAAAATATGTGTTGCAAAAAGCAAAAGACACTGCGGCTGGGGTCCGATGTAGTCAGATGTGCCCATAGGAAGAGCATGAGTGATGAAGACTTGCGGGAGATGGCTTTTACTTTACCCAGAGTGTCAAAAGAGTGCCAGTACTCCAGGACAAGGTACACAGCAACCTGATCCCACTTCAGAAACCAGGCAAAGATCATTCCAGACTCAGCGGTTTCAGGATGATCACCCTACAAAATACTTTTGGCAAGGTGCTAGAGAAGATTATTACTGTTAAATTACAAATATTTTTGAAAAGGTTCGAGTAGTTACCGGTCACGGAAAGATACCTGGTCAAATGAAACTACTTTTGCTTTCACATTCGAGTCAGACATGATATTTTGATATCTGCACTCATGGGGGTTTGTACCTGGGCTTGTAAACTGGATAGCAGCTATCCTGCATTCACGAATGGTTGCCCTTCGCCTGGGTACATGGACCTCAGAACCATGTAATAGCCCCTGGAACTACCCCAGGGTTTTGCAATTTCACCCACGCTCTTACAGACCCCTGAGCACATACTGCAGTACTGCGCTTACCTCTCCCAGCAAAGACTGGATCTGGCCCAGGGGATCCACATTGCGAGAGAAGCTATGGGGGACCGGTGGCGACCTTAAAAGCAGAATCCTATTTTTGACTGATGTTGAACGCAGAAGAAGAAGAAGAACCCACGCTCTTTAATGTGTATACAAGCAAGATTGCAGAACTTGAAGCACCAGATGTTGGAAGGATATTGACATTTGCTGATGATGTTCTTGCATATAGGCAAGGGAATGATAGACAATGGATAGCGCAAGCGCTGCAGGCAACTGTAGGCAAAGTGACTGACTGGTTTGCAAAAAATGGGGGGAGGCATCAACTCAGAAAAGGCAGCTGTTTTGTGGATTCTCTTTGGACAATAGAATTGTACAAGATGATGTTCCAAGTCTCTGAATAAAGTAATGTCATAACACTCCTAGAATATTGGACTTCCTCTAGGAACTTCCTAGGAACTCTCAGAGATGGGGTGAAATAAAAGAAAAGAGCCAATGATTCTTCTTTTTATCTTATTTTCCCCATTAATTTGTATGTTACATTGTGTCGTTTTCTTTGATAGAATCGATAACTTATATTTTGATTAAAGTTTACTTCAAAGCTGAATTGCTCAATGTGTACAAAAACAGCTCAGTTCACTAGTTGTTGTTATAATGTCAGATGTCTGAAGATTTCCAGTAGAATTAGGTAGAGATGTAAAAGTCAGTTTATTTTTAGGTATACAGTGTAGTTGGAATTTCTCACGACTGTAGGCATCTTTCTATGATCAATCGGTGATGTTTATTGTAGTCTGTAAGCTTCATTATCCATTGTTCTCAACACTGAATGTCACACACTCTGTGTCTCAGGCTTTCAGAACCTTAGTCTGGTATTGCCTGCCTGTAAGAAATTTTATCTTGAGCCAATATGTTACATTTCTGAAAGAGTGCACATACTAACTTTTAACATTTTACTTGTGAATACACCACAGCACCTGATTTAGTTTTGTGACTTATTTATAAACCAAACCATAATTTTGTTTTTTCAGGAGTGTTATTTGGACAATGATTTTACATCTTTGTTCTTCGTTGCTCAGTCCTTGATGACTTTACAAGCTCTCTATGGGACCATCCCTTATGTTTACGGCAAAGGGGATTGTGCAAAGGTAAATGTAGAGGCTTTATTTGATCAGTCTGATAACATGTGTTATTTTTACTTGATAATTAATGATAGGTATTAGGATTATCCTTTATAATTATTTAGTGAAGAAACATGAACATTGACTAAACTTTCTGGGGTAAATTTGAAGTTTCCGAATGTTATATAGATTTGATTTGACTCAAGAACTGACATCACAGCACTTCCATAAGTGCTGTTCCCCAACTTCAGCAGCCAACTTAGTGTTTCAGTACTATTGGTGCCAGCTGCAGTCTGATTATATGTCTGTCTTGCCTGTTCTTGGAGCGTCAAGTATCGACCAGCGCCCTCTCGTCACTGCTCGCTGCATCACTCTCACTACACTGATGATTAGTTTGCTGTTCAAAATTGTACACATGGCTCCACCTAGGCCTTAACCACGTCTGCCTTATCATTCCGCCAAGTTTTGCTCTGTGACTCTGCTACAATTACAACATGTCGGACTCTGCTGCTCTAAAGTCAGCAGAAAGCTGGTGTTACTGCCTCCACCTCCATTCTCATACTGGATGTAGTGACGTATGCGAGGTTCTCTGTTTTCAAGCTGTGTCCATTCACCTTTGCCACAGACCCCAACTCTTCTTACCTTTCCCTACAGACCAGTTTGTATAAATTATTGTCACCTGGCCATGAATTTTCATTGATCAGCTCTTGTATCACTGACTCACCAGCTATCCATTTCCGGTACCCCCGGTCCATGTTTAGACCGGGTGAGAAATAGTTTGTTTGGTGGTGCGACTGAGGTAAACGTCATTGTGAACTGAAGTGATGAAGTTTGGAAAGCTTGTCTGAGGAGAATTGATTCTGAATGGCCAGGTCTAGTGTCTGAAAACTTGTGTGTTATTGTGATTCAGATGCCAATACCCAAGCGAATGGAATGTTCTGACTGGCAGCCAATTGTGGTCATGAGCACGTGTCAACGACTAGGGAGAACGGTGGACATGGACGGAATGACTTATTGTTGTGCCACAATAAACGATAACAGGGTTATCATCGTGTGTTGTGAATGTGAATGTACTATCATGTGTCCAGTCTATACAGCTGGCTTGGGGCATTTGTGCTGTCCAGGAAGTAGAACCAGCCAAACAGCAGCATTATCACAAACCCGACAAGCCTAGATATCCTCATTGACTTGGGCAACAGGGTTCCAGTTTAGTTCTGTGAATATTTCTCTTCCCTTTTCCCTCATCATTGTGCATGTACACTCCCATATTTCCCCAACCACCACCCCTCTTCTTTTCCCTCCCATTATCTGTCACACCCATTTGCCTGATTCTCTTCTCTTTTTTTTTTTACACACGCACACACACACACACACACACACACACACACAACCCCCTCCCTCCTCCTCCTCACTGCACACACACACACACAGTTACACACACACACACAAACCCCTCCCCCTCCCTCCTCCTCCTCCTCACTGCACACACACAGTCACACATACACACCAACACATGTTTATAATTTCTCCCCTGCATTTAAATACTATTTTTTTTTCACTCATGAGGGCTGTGAAAAGAATTCTGCATGTTTGTGCATTTCTTTACTTTGCATTCAATCATTACCAAAATGAAACTTATAATGTTAGGTTACCTTATGTCTATGTATTACATTGTTCTAAACCTTGTTTCATCTGGACATATCTTTGACATATCAGAATCTCACATGACTTTTCTAGCAAACATTTTCATTTATTCTGTTATTCAGATTTTTTCCTTCTCTACATTTTAACAGCATGTTGTAGACATGATGAGACGGATGAAAATGGAGATGGGTGGATGTGAGCCCCAGATAACACCTCAGATAGATAATCTTCTCATTCTGGATCGCAATGTCGACCTTTTGACACCATTACTGTCTCAGCTTACCTATGAAGGTCTCATAGATGAGATTTTCAACATCAAAAACAGTGAGTCACGGCAGTCACTTGTTTTCTATTTGTCATTTGCCTTAGACCGTCTAGGTACTGGTTTCATTTCAGAAACATACATGATAGTATGTTTATGTTTATTGTGATCATGTTTCATCAAACCCAACACAAAAACAATACAGAGTATAGTGGATAATTGAAAGCAAAATAACAGAAGGAAAGATATAATTGTGTTTCATCAAACCCAACACAATAAACAAATACAGAGTATAGTGGATAAGAGAAAGCAAAATAACAGAAGGAAAGACATCATTGTGTTTCATCAAACCCAACACAAGGAACAATACAGAGTACAGCGGATAATAGAAAGCAAAATAACAGAAGGAAAGATATCATTGTGTTAACAGTGGAGCTGTGAACAATTGTAGTTGTCAAGATAAATGGAAAAAAAAAGTTTTTTTTTTTCACACAGGTTGTCTTTGATAAATTTTAACATGTATACATATGGATTATACGGTTAGACATATATATCATACATGCAGACATGCATAAAATGTAGGTTTCTGGCTTTGATAACGATTGCTGAAGAGAAAAACCAACTCTTTGCATACATTTTCCCACTCTGTGTCACTAGAAACCTTAGAGTTGTGAACATTTGTTTTCATTGTATCCTTTGCCTCATTGTTAGGCTGTAACAATCTCTTAAGCAGAATGTTTTAAACGGACTTTTAAACCATACAGGTAATTTATGGTTTGAAATGTACAGTTGTGCAATTTCTCATGTTTATTCAGTCAAGATCAGTTCAGATTAACATCTTTAAACATCCAACAAATTTATTGGTGTTCTGAGCTTTATCAGAATGCAGTGGCTAACTGTGCTAGTTCAGTGTTGATAGACAGTTTTATTCCTACCCATAATTTGCACTACTTTCTGACCTCTCCATATTTGTAAACATGATATTTGCATTCTGGCTTATTCTTCTGTTGATAATGGCCCCATTGTTACTTCAGTGACAAGATACAGTGTAGACAAGGATTGTTACTTCAGTGACAAGATACAGTGTAGACAAGGATTGTTACTTCAGTGACAAGATACAGTGTAGACAAGGATTGTTACTTCAGTGACAAGATACAGTGTAGACAAGGATTGTTACTTCAGTGACAAGATACAGTGTAGACAAGGCTGCATGTTACAATATCTGTCTCATCAGGTTTGCTTACTAGGTTCAGATCGATTGTATCATATATAATAACACACCATACTTACTTGATAAACACAAACATCAACTGAGCAAACATGATGCAGTGTTTAAGACAGAAAAAGTTGTATGAGAATAAAATGAAATGTTAACAGTTCAGTTATTTAAGTAGTAAGAAGAGATTAAGCACAAATAAATAGTATGAATAGGAATCAAATAGTGAAACTTACTTTACTTCATCACCACATCCAAGTACATGATGATCAATGTGAGATGATGATCGTACCACTTACATTGAATTATTTTATTATTGTCTTAAAGCTCTCTATAGGTTAAGCTCTTTCTAGGTTATGCTCTCTCTAGGTTAAGCTCTCTTTATGTTAAGCTCTCTCTAGGTTTAGCTCTCTCTAGGTTAAGCTCTCTCTAGGTTAAGCTCTCTCTAGGTTAAGCTCTCTCTAGGTTAAGCTCTCTAGGTTTAGCTCTCTCTAGGTTAAGCTCTCTCTCTAGGTTAAGCTCTCTCTCTAGATTAAGCTCTCTTCTCACAGGCTGTGATAACAGCCAGAGATATCTGTCATTCAAACTGAAAGTGAACTGATATTAGTTTTATTAGATTGGAAGATTGCATATTATTTAACTCACTAGGACATCCTCTCATGTGAGGATTAGGAATTGCAATTGTAAACAGAAAAAGATGTTAATAATTAAGAATTTTGTTTGCAAGAAAGATAAAAGGATATCACACAGAATTGTGACAAATATTCAGTACATTGGTATAGCAGACATCTGATCCAGCACATTAAGTACAACTGTTCCAGATCCATTGCAGCCAGCCTTCATTGTGGAAATGACACTTGAGCAGAAGCACAAACAGCTGTAGAACTTATGTACAACCAGATTAGAGCAATAACAACAAATATTGTTGAAGTATATATACATTAGAGCTCTCTTAATACACAAGAAAAAAAAAAAGAGTGAAGAAAGAGAGCAATTAAGGGGTCACTACACCCACATTTTTTTTTTTTTTATTTACAGAGGAGAGAAATTTTTTTATATTGGTCATTTGAAGATATACATGTTATTACATTTAAAGATATACATGTTATTACATTTGAAGATATACATGTTATTACATTTGAAGATATACATGTTATTACATTTGAAGATATACATGTTATTACATTTGAAGATATACATGTTATTACATTTAAAGATATACATGTTATTACATTTGAAGATATACATGTTATTACATTTGAAGATATACATGTTATTACATTTGAAGATATACATGTTATTACATTTGAAGATATACATGTTATTACATTTGAAGATATACATGTTATTACATTTGAAGATATACATGTTATTACATTTGAAGATATACATGTTATTACATTTGAAGATATACATGTTATTACATTTGAAGACTTTAGGTGTTAAAAAATCATGGTTGTCATAGCAATAACCGCCATCTTGGGGAAAAAAACAACATGTACTTACAATCCTAAAATTTCAAAAACAAACATACATATTTAACAAAAGGTGATAGATTCATGACATTTAATCATATTTAGAGGTACAGGTGTAGTTTATTTACTTTAAACATGTTTTTAAATATTTTCTTAGAAAATTAAAATGTAGGTTTATTGAAAATGTCAAAAACATCTTGCATCATAGGACAATAATCAAATTTAAAAAAAAAAACCTTTCTAAAATCTACTTTTAAAAAGACCAGTCCCTATAATATTGTTAAAGGAGTATCCGTACTAAATTTCATAAATTGGAAAAATTTCCTTGTAGTGACCACTTAATAATAGGAGGAGGAAAGATCATTTTGCATATTTTAGCAAACTATATCTGGACATGGCAAACTGCTGGATGTAAATTAGCCTAGAGAAACCACACAACAGCCAGGGGCTGCTGGGGTTGGTTCTGCAACATCCTGTAAAGGATACGCAACTAACCTTTTATATTTGGACAAATTACTATCATCCATATATTTTTTTTTTGTTTTTTTTTTTTGGTTTATTATTGCAGCAAATGTAAAGCTTCCACCAGAAAAATTCATCACACCAGAAGAAAGAAAAAACAGCAAGGAAGAAGCAATCACAGAGCAAAAGAAGTTCATACTGAATTCTTCAGATGAATTATTTGCAGAGCTCAGGGACAAAAATTTTAATGCAGTCGGTGGTATAGTCAGTCGCAAGGCTAAAACAATCACTGCTGAATTTGATGTAAGTACTGTCTGTCAAATGTCTTTTTTTTAACATGTTGCTCCACCAAGTATATAAATGTAAGTATCTAGACACATGGATAACATTTGATGTAAGTACTGTCTGTTAAATGTCTTTTTTAACATGTTGCTCCACCAAGTATAGAAATGTAAGTATCTAGACACATGGATAACATTTGATGTAAGTACTGTCTGTCAAATGTCTTTTTTAACATGTTGCTCCACCAAGTATATAAATGTAAGTATCTAGACACATGGATAACATTTGATGTAAGTACTGTCTGTTAAATGTCTTTTTTAACATGTTGCTCCACCAAGTATAGAAATGTAAGTATCTAGACACATGGATAACATTTGATGTAAGTACTGTCTGTTAAATGTCTTTTTTAACATGTTGCTCCACCAAGTATAGAAATGTAAGTATCTAGACACATGGATAACATTTGATGCAAGATGTGTCACAGAGATCAAGAACAGAATAGTACAGGCCAGAACTGTATTTTATAAAATGAAAAACATTTTATGCAATAAGTTCATGTCATTGGAGGTTAGGAAAATAATTTGTGGAAGCTATATAGAGGAGGTTTAAGCATACAGCTGTGAATCATGGACAATTAATAAACATGTCAAACAATTTATTGATGCCTCAGAGATGTGGTGTTACACAATAATCCTTATAATTCCATGGGCAGCAAAAAAGAGCAACCCAGATGTTTTGAAAGAGGTGAGGGTTCAAAGACAACTTATGACAAACATCAAAAAGAGAGGGTCATCATTTTTTGGGTCTTGTTATGAAAAGAGGGAAATGAAACATGTTGTGACCACTGGAAAGATCTGTCTAAAGAGAGACAGAGGAAGACATTGCAAGAAGATTCTTAGTCTTGTGTCATGTCATGGAGGGGTGTCAGCACAAGAACTGATACATGCAGTTGCACATCACAGATTGTGGAGAGGCATGATTGCCCACGCCAGTCGGCAAGGCACTTGATGATAATGATGATGCTCTACCATATGTTTAGCTTTGTTCCTGGAAAAATTCTGTAGACATTAATTCCAAGATTTCTCCTTTATTTTGCATATAAAAGATTTAGGATTTTTTGACATGTTTATTATGCATACAGGAATACTTTTTTGATTTGTTTTGGGTCATCATCATCATCATCATCATGTAGCAGGTCCTTTGCAGAACGTCGCTGTCATCACGGTCTGCCTGAAAGAAACTCGGTCTCTCGCCAGTTCTCCCGCCTCATGTACACTCAAGGAGTCACTTATATCCTGTGCCCATCTTCGTGTCTGTCGGCCTCTGCCCCTCCTTCCTGGTACCATGCCTTCTGCTATAATTTTTTCCAATCCGTCGTGGCGCTTGATATGACCAAAATTTTCAGCTTCCGAGACAGGATGCTGTTTATTAGCCAATCTTCCTTGATGTTCAGATCTTTCAACATGTCAGTTTTTCTCCCCTTCTTTGTCCAAGATATTCTTAGAATCTTTCTATAGCATTTCAGCTCAAAAGCCCCTATTCTTTTTCTTAAGGACTTTTTTTTTTTTTTTTTGGGTGCTGACTCAAAAAGTTTAGTTTTGTTTTTGTTTTTGTGTGATTCTGGCAGAGTTTTAAATATGCATCACATATTTATAGGTTTTTATTGTTGGTGAGAACATTTTCTTAACTTCTTCTCTGTTAAAAAAACATCATGAAGAGCAGAGTCTTGTTCAGAACTTAATAAATATCTGCAGCAATATTATATATCAGTTACATATCGGTCAAAAACTAAAATAAAAAAATTATAAAGAGGCAAAATTAATTGTGAAAGTTTCAAAAGATGAATCATGGAGAAAAAAATGTGGAGAGCAGATAGCCACATCTAGTAGAAGAGAACTTTACACACAGGTTACAAATATGAGAGCAAGAGAGGGGTGCTACAATCCAGCCACAATTATAAACAACAAAAGAGGCAGTTCTGAATCAAACCAGAGGCTAGCAAGATTTGCAGAGTATTTGAAAGATCTACTCAACCCTGAAAACGACCTAGATAATGTAAGTTTTGTGCATAAAAGCAGTGACTAACATGAACCAAACTGGTGAACATTAGAAGTAAAAGCTGTCATACACAAGAGCCCTGGAAACAAGCACCTAGTTTAGATAGAATAACTTTAGAAACCATTCAAGCATGTGATCAGATGGCTAACAAGAACTGTCAGTACGGCGTAGGAAGAAAAGAAGTGTGCAAAGGTTTATGCAGGGATTCTAGATGCATAGTTAGAATAACTTAGGAAACATCTAAACTATTTGCAGTAATGTCTGGAGGAAGATAAAGATGTATTTTATCATGGCTGATGTTTATCACCACGCAGACAGCATATCCAAGGATGCCAAGCCCAGAAGTTAAACATATTATTAAGATCATCATCATCCTCTCCTCCTCCTCCTTTTCTTCTTCTTCTTCTTCTTTTTCTTCTTCTTCTTCTTATTCTTCTTCTTCTTTTTCTTCTTCTTCTTCTTCTTCTTCTTCTTCTTCTTCTTCTTCTTCTTCTTCTTCTTCTTCTTCTTCTTCTTCTTCTTCTTCTTCTTCTTCTTCTTCTTCTTCTTCTTCTTCTTCTTCTTCTTCTTCTTCTTCTTCTTCTTCTTCTTCTTCTTCATCCTCCTCCTCTTCTTCTTGTTCTTCTTCCTCCTCCTCCTCTTTCTTCTTCTTCATCATCCTCCTCCTCCTCTTCTTCTTCTTCTTCTTCTTCTTCTTCTTCTTCTTCTTCTTCTTCTTCTTCTTCTTCTTCTTCTTCTTCTTCTTCTTCTTCTTCTTCTTCTTCTTCTTCTTCATCCTCCTCCTCTTCTTCTTGTTCTTCTTCCTCCTCCTCCTCTTTCTTCTTCTTCATCATCCTCCTCCTCTTCTTCTTCTTCTTCTTCTTCTTCTTCTTCTTCTTCCTCTTCTTCTTCTTCTTCTTCTTCTTCTTCTTCTTCTTCTTCTTCTTCTTCTTCTTCTTCTTCTTCTTCTTCTTCTTCTTCTTCTTCTTCTTCTTCTTCTTCTTCTTGTTCTTCTTGTTCTTATTCTTCTTCTACTTCCTCCTCCTACTGCTTATTCTTCTTCTACTTCCTCCTCCTACTGCTTCTTCTTCTTTTCCTTTGCATTCACCAGCTATAAACTCTGGGGGAAATTTCTGGTTGTTTGTCCACTGCTGAATGTGTCTGGTTCTAGAACCTGGTTGTTGCACTCACAGCTGCTTGATAGATCCCACTTATTTGTTTATAGTTGCTTGCCTCTCAGACAGATGCACTCTCACTTCAAAGGCAGTCTCAGTTAGTTGACTCAGAGGACAGGCTTGTTGGGGAGCCAGTGGGTCTAGTGTGTTTTTCCCACAGTAGGGCCCTGTAAACCACACTTAAATGGAATTAACATTAAAAACTGCCGGTTTGTGTTATGCTGGCCAGTAAGTAGTAAATTTAAAACCAGTATGCCTCACGCGGCAATTGGCAGCGCGGGTAGTAACTGATTAGCGCGCGTCATGTGTTCGTTGAGTCTCAGAGAGTTAAAGATGTACACCAAAATAGTTTTCATAGTTCAGTCTATGTTTGACATTCTAGAAACAATGTTTAATCATAATTTTTTGTCAGATCCACACTTTTAGTAGCATCTTCTGTCTTTAATTGCTCAAACAATCATATTTCAGTCTGTTGTTTTCTTTTTTTCTTTCTTTTGATTCTTTAAGGAAAGACATACAGCAAAAACAGTAGGAGAGATGAAACAGTTTGTGTCTAAGCTTCCTCACTTGCAGTCTGCCAGGACTTCACTAGGAATTCGTAAGTCTTCTGTAAATGTAAATTTATTATGTCTTCATGCAACCTGTAGTTTAAGTTTTATAGTTTCACTTAAACACTGCAAAGAGGAAATTGTGTCTCAAGTTATTATTTCTGCTAAAAATGTGGTACACATCTATCTAATCCCACTTCAGAAACCAGGCAAAGATCATTTCAGACTTAGTGGTTTCAGGATTATCACCCTACAAGATACTTTTGGCAGAGTGAAGATTATTGCTATTAAACTATAAGTGTTTTTGGAAAGGGAAGAGCTCCTGCCAAAAGATTTAGGTAGTTCATCATCATCATCATCACCATCCCGTAACACTATGTGTAGACAGGTCACCAGTTTCTGTTGACTGTCTGATCAGCTGTCTCCACCTTTGGCGGTCAGTTGTGATGGACTTCATGTTTGCATGCCTGAGGCCTGTCCAGTCAGTCAGGTTATGTAACCAGGTCTTTCTTGGTCTGCCTCTTCTCCTCTCTCCCTCTACTGAGCCCTGCAGTATTGTATTTGAGAGGCCGTTAGATCTTATTACATGTCCATATCATTGCATTTTTCTACTTTTCACTGTAGTTAAAAGAGGTTCACAGTTGCCAATGTGCTGTATAATTTTATGGCAAACTTCTTTGTTTGTATTGTGGTCTCTGTATGATATGCCAAGAATTTTTCTAAAACATCGCATTTCTATTGCTTGTATCTTTCTTTCAAGTTAGCTGTTAAGGTCCACGTTTCACAGCCATGTGTAAATGTACTAATAGTTAGTGCTCTGAGCAATGGAATTTGAGTCTAGCATGAAAAGTAGTTACTGGCTACAAAAAGATACCTGGTAAAATGCAGGGTCCTTTTGCTTTTGCTGAGGGCTCCCAGAACAGATGGGAGACACTTGTGGCTTCCAGAACAGATGGGAGACACTTGTGGCTTCCAGAACAGATGGGAGACACTTGTGGCTTCCAGAACAGATGGGAGACACTTGTGGCTTCTAGAACAGATGGGAGACACTTGTGGCTTCTAGAACAGATGGGAGACACTTGTGGCTTCCAGAACAGATGGGAGACACTTGTGGCTTCCAGAACAGATGGGAGACACTTGTGGCTTCTAGAACAGATGGGAGACACTTGTGGCTTCCAGAACAGATGGGAGACACTTGTGGCTTCCAGAACAGATGCGAGACACTTGTGGCAACACTTGATCTTGAGGATGCCTACATATGATATTTTGCTATCTGCACTCAAAAAAAAAAAGACTCAGTGCTCTCAAGATTACGGCAGCAATGGACACGAAACACAAAATGCTGTTCACAGTGTTTCAGCATGTGATCAAGTCGGTGATAGATTATGGACTTGGAATGCTTACCATATCAAAGAGTCAGTTGATGAAACTTGAACGCATACAGAATGAAGCCATGTGTGTAATTCTGGAATGTACAAGAGATACCCTGGTAGTATGTATGCGATATATGCTTGCACTGCCTACTATTGCAGATAGGCTCAATGTTCTGCAAGCAAAGTCATATCTCAGAGTAGCTGCAGACAAGAAGCACCTCCGTAATGAAACCATATCTGCAGACAAGAAGCACCTCCGTAAATGAAACCCTATCTGCAGACAAGAAGCACCTCCGTAATGAAACCCTATCTGCAGACAAGAAGCACCTCCGTAATGAAACCCTATCTGCAGACAAGAAGCACCTCCGTAATGAAACCCTATCTGCAGACAAGAAGCACCTCCGTAATGAAACCCTATCTGCAGACAAGAAGCACCTCCGTAATGAAACCCTATCTGCAGACAAGAAGCACCTCCGTAATAAAACCTCATGTAGTGTTAAGGGTGCAGACTGAAAAGAGGATGGGGCAAACTGAAGACACAATCAGACTTATGTGCACGCTTGAGGAGTGTGATGTGAGGAGTGGGTCAGAGTGTCCGAGCAAGTTTCAGACTTGTGTAGGGTTCTTACCACTTTGGGTCGGGAGTGAGGGGACTGGCCAGATGGCACAGCAGAATCAGAAGCTTAACCAATGATTTATGCCCAAGTGATATGATTATCAATACAGATGGCTCTGTGTTGAGGGGCAGACGAAGTACATGGGGGTTCAAAGCAAAAGCAAATGGACGTCAGTGCAACAAAGTCTGGCATATAATATCACAATGTCTAGTTTGAGAATGTAGATGAAGGCAGTCACTGCTGAATTCGGCTGGCTTGAGAGTCAGCTGTACACACATGACGTGATCATGACTGACTCACAGAGCATGTTGAGAGTCAGCTGTACACACATGACGTGATCGTGACTGACTCATAGAGCATGTTGAGAAAGGTGGAGACAGTATGTACCATGCAGAGTGGCAAGCATCACTTCAGAGGTCCCAGGTAGTTGGCATTCTTTGGATATTCTCTCCAGGTATGCCGATGTGTTAGGAAATGAGCAGGCAGATAGACTGGCCGGTTCTGCACCACTTAGTGGTGAACTGATGTATGACAAGCTGGATGTTGTTAGGGCCCTTTTTGAACAGTGCGGAAGCGCAAATAGATCATTACAGTCTGAGGAGAATAGTGCAGCAAAGAGTTGCCAGGGAATCTGGCTGATGCTTATCACTTAAGGAAAAGGCGAGACAGATATACACTCAGTCGGTTTACTAGTGTCATCGGAATGTGAACTCTTCATTTGCTGCTGAAGATGGGGACAGATCACTTATGGAAGTTTCCCGAGTGCTATGATGTTGATTCTTAATTCAACATTCAAGAACATTCATCTTCAACAGAATATATCAGTTCATGTTCTTCCCAAGACAAAAGGCTATCTTTTCTTATTGTCTTTTATCTTTTATTTATATCTTGCCTTTAAACTTGTATGGTTACAGAAATGTTTGGCTTTCGTTGTTGTGTGCTTAATTTAATGTTGATATGATTTTGTTATGTGTTACGCTTATTTTTTCCCCCCAGATACTTCTATAGCTGAACTGATTAAGGAAGTGACAGATTCTGATGAATTCCTGGATTCTTTACGTTGCCAGCAAGGTTTGTTCACAGTTTACATTATTTCATCTCCGGGTGGGTTCTGGGTTAGAGGTTGTTGAAATCAAATATACTGGGCAGAAAAGTGCAGATATTACATCCTAGCTGTAAACCACAACACAGTGTGCCAACCTGCTTGTTAAGTTTGAACACAGATGAGGAAAACTTTTTTCCTCTGAAAATGTAACTATGCTTTTAGTTATAATCATGAAGTGTCTGGCCCGCTGGACCAGGTTGTCTTTTTTCTCTCTATATTTCATGGTCATTAGATTATATCAGTTCATCCATGCTTATAGGGATCAGATAAATATTCAGCAACAGATAGCTTCTTTTGCATGGTCATTAGATTATATCAGTTCATGCATGTTTATAGGGATCAGATAAATATTCAGCAACGGATAGCTTCTTTTGCATGGTCATTAGATTATATCAGTTCATGCATGTTTATAGGGATCAGATAAATATTCAGCAACGGATAGCTTCTTTTGCATGGTCATTAGATTATATCAGTTCATGCATGTTTATAGGGATCAGATAAATATTCAGCAACGGATAGCTTCTTTTGCATGGTCATTAGATTATATCAGTTCATGCATGTTTATAGGGATCAAATAAATATTCAGCAATGATAGCTTCTGTTGTGTAATAAAAAATCTCTCTCACAAGTATCCAGCAGACTCATCAAGTATCTTGCTGATTGATGTCTGTGATCTTGCTTATCCAGCAGACTCATCAAGTATCTTGCTGATTGATGTCTGTGATCTTGCTTATCCAGCAGATACATCAACATCAAGTGTCTTGCTGATTGATGTCTGTGATCTTGCTTATCCACACTGTGTGCCCATCAGCAGTTTGTATTCTGGGTGTTTTCTTTGTCTTTTTTTTTTTTAGGGAGGAAGATTGTGAAAAAGGTAGGAAACATAATAACATAAACATATGTCAGTGGCTGACATGTACATGAGATCAAATACCTAGGAGGAATATTTGCAGAAGGTGGCAGACTGGTCATCTGTGAGGGCAAATACTGTCAGTTATTAGCTAGAACCCCTACTTCATTCATTCATTCAGTAGCATGTCCCTCGCGGAACCTCGCTGCCATAACAACCCTCCGGAAAACCTTCCTATCATGAGCAAGATGTCCTGCGTCTGATACACCCATCTGGAGATCATCTGCCACATCCTGCACCCATCTTCTCCTTGGCCTTCCTCTTCCTCTCTTCCCAGGCATATACCCCTCCATTATTGTTCTCTCTAGACCTCCATGACGTTTCAAGTGACCAAAATATTTCAATTTTCTTTGTTTTATTGTCTTTACTAGGAACCCCTACTTAGACACCCAAATATCTCCCTTCCAGCAAAACAACAGATGATAAATAGTATCTTCATCCCTCTTGTTGTTTTTGCTCTCAGTCCTCAACAGGAACAATGTGTAGATGAGAGAACATAACCTTCTTTGAAATGTGCTGTCTCCGGAAGGTCACCATCAACACAAGAAGGGACAAGGTCACACTTACCAGCATAAGAGATCAGGTTGCAACAAGGCAATGCCTGTATGAAGCTTACAAACCCACAATGGAGTGGTTTGGCCATCTAGTAAGAATGCAGCCAGCCCAAACTATATGAAACCTTCTACAGCAGACAGGAAGAGAGGGATAACTTGTATTGTTGAAACCTGCATACAAATGAAGAAAACCATCAATCAGACCACCCAAGAGAAATACAGAAAACAACGCCACTGGGTTATAACCAAGTAGCAGTGTGACGACAACAGAAAGAGACTGACAGAGGTTTATTCTTGTGTACAGTAAGATTGCTGTTTCACTTCCTATGAAATGACCTTGATTGCTGGAGGAACATGAACTTATCACTAGACATATCAACTTGCTTGTGGAACATGAACTTATCACTAGACATATCAACTTGTCGGTGGAACATGAACTTATCACTAGACATATCAACTTGTCGATGGAACATGAACTTATCACTAGACATATCAACTTGCTGGTGGAACATGAACTTATCTCTAGACATATCAACTTGCTGGTGGAACATGAACTTATCACTAGACATATCAACTTGTCGATGGAACATGAACTTATCACTAGACATATCAACTTGTCGATGGAACATGAACTTATCACTAGACATATCAACTTGTCGATGGAACATGAACTTATCACTAGACATATCAACTTGTCGATGGAACATGAACTTATCACTAGACATATCAACTTGTCGATGGAACATGAACTTATCACTAGACATATCAACTTGCTGGTGGAACATGAACTTATCACTAGACATATCAACTTGCTGGTGGAACATGAACTTATCACTAGACATATCAACTTGCTGGTGGAACATGAACTTATCACTAGACATATCAACTTGCTGGAGGAACATGAACTTATCACTAGACATATCAACTTGTCAATGGAACATGAACTTATCACTAGACATATCAACTTGCTGGTGGAACATGAACTTATCACTAGACATATCAACTTGCTGGTGGAACATGAACTTATCACTAGACATATCAACTTGCTGGAGGAACATGAACTTATCACTAGACATATCAACTTGTCGATGGAACATGAACTTATCACTAGACATATCAACTTGCTGGTGGAACATGAACTTATCACTAGACATATCAACTTGCTGGTGGAACATGAACTTATCACTAGACATATCAACTTGCTGGTGGAACATGAACTTATCACTAGACATATCAACTTGTCGGTGGAATATGAACTTATCACTAGACATATCAACTTGTCGATGGAACATGAACTTATCACTAGACATATCAACTTGTCGATGGAACATGAACTTATCACTAGACATATCAACTTGCTGGAGGAACATGAACTTATCACTAGACATATCAACTTGTCGGTGGAACATGAACTTATCACTAGACATATCAACTTGTCGATGGAACATGAACTTATCACTAGACATATCAACTTGCTGGTGGAACATGGACTTATCACTAGACATATCAACTTGCTTGTGGAACATGAACTTATCACTAGACATATCAACTTGCTGGTGGAACATGAACTTATCACTAGACATATCAACTTGCTGGAGGAACATGAACTTATCACTAGACATATCAACTTGCTTGTGGAACATGAACTTATCACTAGACATATCAACTTGCTGGAGGAACATGAACTTATCACTAGACATATCAACTTGCTTGTGGAACATGAACTTATCACTAGACATATCAACTTGCTGGTGGAACATGAACTTATCACTAGACATATCAACTTGCTTGTGGAACATGAACTTATCACTAGACATATCAACTTGCTGGAGGAACATGAACTTATCACTAGACATATCAACTTGTCGGTGGAACATGAACTTATCACTAGACATATCAACTTGCTGGTGGAACATGAACTTATCACTAGACATATCAACTTGTCGGTGGAATATGAACTTATCACTAGACATATCAACTTGTCGATGGAACATGAACTTATCACTAGACATATCAACTTGCTGGTGGAACATGAACTTATCACTAGACATATCAACTTGCTGGTGGAACATGAACTTATCACTAGACATATCAACTTGCTGGTGGAACATGAACTTATCACTAGACATATCAACTTGCTGGTGGAACATGAACTTATCACTAGACATATCAACTTGCTGGTGGAACATGAACTTATCACTAGACATATCAACTTGTCGGTGGAACATGAACTTATCACTAGACATATCAACCCAGTCATCCCCAATCCTGCTACTGCCCGCACATACTGATCAAGGCATAACCCAATCAGAACATTTCACAGATAGGACAAGAATACGTTTGCATTGAGAGCTGACCATATTTGAAATGTTAACTTCATGCACTTTTTTTATTGCAATATATTTTCTTTTATTGTTGCTGTACAGAATTGTTGCATGGTCTAGAAACTGACAAAGTCAATCCATACATAGAGGACTGCATTGCCAGGGAGGAGTCTCTGATTAAAGTGCTTCGGCTTATATGCATACAATCAGTATGTAATGATGGACTCAAACCCAAGATTTTAGAGCATTACAAACGAGAAATTATACAGGTATGTTACAGTACAAATTACCATTTATCAATAAATACAGTTAATATCTGGAATGAGAACCTTTCTGTTGTAGTTCATGAGATCTGTTCATAAAGTTTCATATATCATTTATTTTTAAAGTTGTCTTCAGCAGATGTGGTGTAGGGGACCTGAGTTTGCATACATGGTTTCCCAACCACAAAGAGTGTCTGTCGCTGGCAGTTAGTCCCACCCACAAAGTGTGTCTGTCGCTGGCAGTTAGTCCCACCCACAAAGAGTGTCTGTCGCTGGCAGTTAGTCCCACCCACAAAGAGTGTCTGTCGCTGGCAGTTAGTCCCACCCACAAAGAGTGTCTGACGCTGGCAGTTAGTCCCACCCACAAAGAGTGTCTGTCGCTGGCAGTTAGCCCCACCCACAAAGAGTGTCTGTCGCTGGCAGTTAGCCCCACTCACAAAGAGTGTCTGTCGCTGGCAGTTAGTCTAAAAATAAGTTATTGTAGTGAGCATCCAGTAGATATTTTCATTTGACACAAAATGATTGGAACATCTCAAGAAACATTTGCGTGAAATTTTGCCAACAGCCGGACAATACCATACTGGAAATTATGGGGAATATTCAACAGACTTGTAGGCATGATGACTTGAGCACCAACAAATGACAGCAATACAATCACCTCAGTTAAGATTGCTCATCTGTAGAGTCGACTACATTCTGATAGGTCTTTAACTCTTTCAGGTCTATGAATTTGGCTCAAATTAATTTCCCTTGATAAAGATGGCAGAGGCGGTGGTAAAATAAAGGCAGTAGAGAATATAATATTCTTCTTATCCCTACAAAAGTAGATATTTTTTTCTAAAGAGGAACAAATGTACATTTTGAATCTGATGATATGTATATGTTTAATTCTGTTATAATTAGTAGGTGACACATTTTCACTTACCATGGTTTTGCAGCTACAAGAGCAGTGAATATCCAAATTTGATAATATCACTTTAAAGTGTGTTCAATTTCCTAACAAATTCCAAAGTTATGACAAGTTTACATCATGAACATTGGTACATGGAATGTCAGAACACTCGTGCAAAACGGAAAACTGGATAACATCAAGATGGAAATGAAGAGAATGAACATCAACATACTAGGAATTAGTGAAATGAGATGGCCTGGAGCAGGGGAAAAGTATTCAGATCAGCACAGAATTATCTACTCGGGAGGGAAAGAATATAGCAAGGGAGTTGGTATTATTTTGGATCCAAAGAACTCAAAAACTGTTAAAGGATTTTGGACAATATCAGATAGAGTACTATTAGTAAAACTTCGCGGCAGACCGTTTGACATCAACTTAGTACAGATTTATGCCCCAACAGCAGATAGTTCAGAGGAAGGCATTGACGCATTTTATGATGAGTTAGACATGGCTGTTGATCAATGCAAAAATTGTGAAGTAACAATGGTACTTGGAGATTTCAACGCAAAAGTAGGAAGTGAAAAAGTGTACGGAATAACGGGTGGATATGGACTAGGAGAAAAGAATGTGAGAGGTGACAGATTAATAGCATGGGCTGAGTCGCGCAGCATGATAATAGGTAACACCTGGTTTAAACACCATCCTCGAAGATTGTGGACTTGGAAAAGTCCTGGTGATATTGTCCGCAATCAGATTGATTATATTTTGATTTCAAGAAGATTTCAGAGCAGCTTAGTTGGAGCTAAAACTAGACCAGGGGCAGACTGCTTTAGTGACCATGTGCCAGTTGTAGGAAAAATTAGAATAAAACTAAAGAACATTAGAAAAACACCACAGAACATCAAGTTAAATTTAGGAATTCTTAGAACGGATAAAGAAATTAAGGAACAGTACAACGTCACTGTACAAAACCGGTATAATGCAATAGAAATTATACACACAATTGATAAACAGTGGGATATGTTGCGTGAGTCAATTCAGCAGACATCAAAAGAGACAATCCCACCAACCCATACAGTTGCAAAAAAGAAATGGATGTCAACCGAAATTCTGCAGTTGATGGATGAAAGAAGGAAGAAAAAGAATGATAAAGAAGAATACTCTAGAATACAAAAAGAAATAGTGAACAAATGCAAAGTGGCTAAAGAAGCCTGGCTGAATCAAATGTGTACAGAGATTGGGGAAAATCACGGGAAAGACTCACATTCCATGTACCAACAGATAAATATGTTAACAGGAAAGATGACACGTAACAGCACTGGATGTTTGATATCAAAGGATGGTGACTTATTAATGGGACATAGTAATATAATTAACAGATGGACAGAGTATATAGGGGAATTGTATGATGATAATAGACCAGACATAGAACTGCAGAACAACAATGATGGTCCACCAATAATGACTGCAGAAGTTGAGGATGCAATACATCATATGAAGAAAGGAAAAGCACCCGGGCCAGACAACATCTCACTGGAAGAAATCGAAGCACTGGGAAATTTTGGAATTGAAATAATAACTAAACTTTTAAATGATATTTATAACAGTGGGTATATTCCAAATGACCTTTTAAAATCCATATTTATAGCTCTGCCGAAGAAACCAGGCACTTTAAAATGTGAAGACCATCGCACAATAAGTCTTATGAGTCACATGACTAAGATTTTACTGAGAATAATTATGAGAAGAATAAGAAACAAAATTAAACCAGAAATCAGCGATGAACAATGTGGATTTGTAGAAGGAAAAGGTACAAACAATGCCATATACATCCTAAGGACATTGTCAGAAAGAGCTATAGAAGTAAAGACTGATTTGTACTTATGCTTCATAGACTATACAAAAGCATTTGACTGTGTGAAGCATGAAGAAGTAATCAAACTGTTAGAAAAATTAAACATTGATGGGAAAGTTCTAAGAATAATAAAGAATATGTATTGGCAGCAAACAGCAGCTATAAGAATTAACAACTGTTTAGGTACATTTCAAAGCATAAAGAGGGGCGTACGACAAGGATGTGTACTTTCACCTGATTTGTTTTCAATATACAGTGAATATATTATGAGATCTTTAATTGATATGCCCGGAATCGTGGTTGGTGGGCACAATATAAACAATTTACGTTATGCTGATGACACAGTCTTGATAGCAACAAGTCAGAAAGAATTACAGGAAATGATAGACATTGTGGTGTTAGAAAGTGGAAGAATGGGCCTCAGTTTGAATAATGGGAAGACAGAAGTAATGGTGGTATCAAAGAAACAAATTATTCCTAAATGTGTAATAAAAGTCAATGGTGTTATTTTAAGACAAGTACAGAAATTTAAGTATCTGGGCACATGGATAACATCAGATGGAAGATGCATAACTGAAATAAGAAACAGAATTGGACAGGCAAAAACTGCATTTTATAAAATGAAAAACATCTTGTGCAATATATCCTTGTCATTGAGAGTTAGAAAAAGAATTCTTGCTTGCTACATACATCCAGTTTTAACATATGGATGTGAATCCTGGACAATCGGTAGGCAGGCCAAACAATTTTTAGAGGCCTCAGAGATGTGGTTTTACAGAAGAATGCTTAGAATACCTTGGACAGCCAAAAAGAGCAACCAAGAGGTTTTAAAAGAGGCGGGAGACCGAAGACAACTTATCACTGACATCAGAAGGAGACAGTCATCATTTTTCGGCCATGTTATGAGAAGAGGAAAAATAGAACATGTTGTGACCACTGGAAAGATCTGTGGAAGGAGGGATAGAGGAAGACAACGAGAGAAGATGCTTGACAGTCTTGTTGCATGGCATGGAGGTGTGTCGGCACACGAACTGATACATGCTGCAGGAGATCGCGGATTATGGAGAGGCATGATCGCCCACGCCAGTCGGCAAGGCACCTGATGATGATGATGATGACAAGTTTCTCAGTTTTGTTAGGACTCAGAGGCTTTAAGATCTCACAAAGAGCTGAACACAATTTCAAAGAAAAAACCTGCAGAAAAATGGACCATTGCACACGAAAAGTGTTCAGTCCTGAAACAGGCTCCAGGCTCGATTCTACCCATTCTTTACCAGAATTGGTCTTTCTGTTTAGAGCACTTTCCTTCTCTTAATATGATTAAAGTCAACATCTTATATTTATAAATCAAGAGAAGGCATTTGATCGAGTTAATAGATGCAAACTATGGACGATTCTAGAGGATTATGGCATTCAAGATCAGCTGTTGGGTAACATCATGGCTCTTTACCAAGATAGTAGTGCATAGTAAGAACAACAAAAGAAATGATAAACTGGTTTCTCATCTCATAAGGTGTCAGACAGAGAGATATTTCCTCTCACCCTTGCTATTCATTACTTACCTGGATAGAATTACAAAGGAGGTAAATGCAAACACTGAAGAAATAAGTGAATATCTTTTTGCAGAGGATCAATGTCTAATACACAATCAAGAACAGAATTTACAATACCATATTGACTCCTGACATGCAACCTGCACAAAGTATGATATGAATATAAACACTGTGAAAACGGAGAAATGAGGATTGGCAGGAAACATAATATAATGAATGTTCATGTTAACGGTTCTACAATAAAACAAGTATGAGAATTCAAATATTTAGGAAGCATGCCTGTATTTACAGAGGATGGCAGACTCGATAGAGAGATAGAAGCCAGAGTACAGAAGGCAAATGATGTCACCTGCCAGTTAGCTTCACTGCTTAGACACCCAAACGTCTCCCTTCCAGCAAAACAGAATATGATCAAAAGTATCTTTTTCCCTACTTTTATGTTATCAGTACCAAACATGGACAATGAATAGGGCACTAGAACAGAACATTACTACATGTGAAGTTTGCTGTCTCTGCAAGTTCACTAACAATACAAGAAGATAAGGGGTTATGAATACCAGCATTAGAGACAAAGTCAGAATAAGACCATGTCTAAATTATATTGACAGATAAAGAATGAAGAAATTGTTCAGCCATCAGTGAGAATGCAGCCAGGTCAAACTGCATATGAGACTTTTTACAGCAGAACATCTGGGAGGAAGGTGAG